GATGATCCGACGGCACCGGATGCGGAATCAATCCTACAGGAGTAGGAGCTTTAACTGGATTTGACGTTTGCGATTATGCTCCAGGACAGGTTGTGGATTCGTCGCAGATGCTGAAGAAGTAGAACGGAGAAGAAGGACGGTGAGGTTGAAGCGGGAGAAGGGAGATTTGGGAATTTTGGAGTCATCGGGGTTCACTCATTTTTGCGTTTCGAACAATGCCGGATTACTCGCGTATTGTTGGAATATCCACATCGCATACTCGTTTAGCTCGAGACTGTCGGGGGAAGAACTGAAGGGATCCATGTTAACAAAAATTGAAGAAAGAAAAGATGTGAAGAAGATTGAGGATTGGAGATTGAAGAAAGGAAAGATGTGAAGAAGATTGAAGATTGGGTTTCATATTTAATTAAAAAAATTAATTAAAGAATTTTTTAAAGGTGTAACGGCTAAACTAGCCGTTGGGGGGAGTAATTGCGTTAAACGTGTGATGCAACGCAGCGATGCCCACTTGCCCCACCTTAGGTCCGCCCCTGGCTTCACTTCCAAATTAATTAAAGCTTCGCTATAGCATGAATCTGCCGGATCTACTACAAACTTTTACCATAGACCTTAATCCATCGCAGATTTGCAACAATTCTGCAATGTGTAAAGTCTTGTTTGCAACATTGTTTATATTTGCAACAAACATATGATATCCGCCGAAGGTATAAGATGAATTTTTTATTTCCGTCGCAAATATTACGCGTTATAGCGCAGCCAAAGCGCACCACCCAAATTAGTTTACGAGGAGAAATATCTCACTTTTTTTACTCCCTCCGTCCCTAATTTGATTACAATTTTTTTCTCTCCTCTCGATAACCTTTGTTTGCTTACGTGATTTCATTAAGTATTTAATAAAATAGAATATTTTGTCACCTGTTTTGTAGAATATTTGACGTAGTTTTTAATATGTAATTTTTATTTCTTATCGACATACTAAATTGTAAATAAAATGATTTTAAAAAGTGAGATATTTTTCCTCATAAACCCCAATTTGGTAATCAAATTGGGGATGGAGGGAGTTATTTTTTTATGAGGAAAATTTTACTATTTTAAAATAAGATGGGGAAAAATGGACATAATAAAAGGCACCAATTCAATCTCGTAAAATTATTTCGGTATTTTGTTTTTCGTATGTCTTAAAAATATTAAAACTTTTTTTTGTAGGTCTTAAGAATATTTTTATTTTATAAAAGTCAAATCGAATATTTTTATGCAATAGAGGTAGTTTTTAAAATACATTCGATATATGCATATTTTAAAAATAAACACTATTCATTTTACACCATTTTTTCTTCGCGTATTGAATTGATGTATGAACATTTTGTATTTTGCATACGCTTAGAACATGCAGATTATAAAATTTATTAGTGCATGCATATTTAAAAGTTATGTAATGTTTAATAAAAAATAGAGTGGACAAATATTTTGGTCAAAATTTTAAAATATTGACTAAAACACATTGCAAAGAAACATAATTAATGAAAATTTCAAAATCAATACAAAAATTATGAATTAATTAATTTAAAATTTAATAATTTATGCGACTCTATAATTGTAACTAAAATTTATATTCAGGACATAATTTATTAATAAATTATTATATTAATTCAATATTTTATTTTATTGAGATAATAATAATAATATATGAAACTATACTTAAATAATTTTTTTAAGTTATTGTTAAAAAAATTGGAAGAAGTTAACTAGAAGAAACTGAAAGGAATTTGAAAAACTTGAAGGATTTGGAAGAAGTTAGAAAAAACTGGAAGGAATTGAAAAAAATTAAAAAAAGTTAAAGAATTAAGATGAGTTCGAAAAAACTGGAAGAAATTTAAAAATGTTAAAAATTAAGAGTTAACCGATAACTAACCCTCCATAACCCCTATGCCAAAGCCCATTTGTTTAGAGATATTCAAAATAGCTACGGCGCTCACACTCTTCGCGTTCACCACCCTGACTTGCACCAATCACTTCGAAGCCTAGGCATTGGCTTCTTCTTTCAGTTCCAGACCTCAATCTCCATTCTTTATTCCAAATGAATGCAAAGATATATGGTCGACTGTCATAAATTTATTAGGTATTATTTGGCAACTTGTATTTCATTTTAATTCATGCATTTCAATTCAAAAATTTGAAATGATGAATTTCAAATGACAATGAAAATGTATAGATTTCAAGTTAAATTTTATTATGAATGAGAATCATTTGACTCAAATTCAAAATTTTTAAGTTTTTCAAATATGGAATTTGAATCAAATCCGTATTTAAAATCCAAATTCATGTTTCCAAATATAGGAGTGGTGAAATTTCTTTTTCATACTTCTAAGAATTTCAATGAATGGTGGACTAACAAGATTCCAATTAATTACTTGTGTAAGATAACTAGTATCACACCCGTGCGTTGCACGAGTCATTTTTATGTTATTAAATTCAAATCATTTTTCAATGATAAAACTGAGATGCAATAGAATATAAAGATTATGTTATTTTAAGGGAAGAAACATCAATGCTCTATAAATTTCGAAAGACTTCTTTATAAACTACATTATTTGTACAATTTGCGATATATCTGCAACGCAGGAGAGATAGAGGCGGCACTCCGTGTGTAATTGTATAATAAAATTTGGTAAGAATAAAAATAATTATTCTTGCCATAATTATTTTTGAAACGAAATTTAAAGTATAATTGTATAACTTTCTTTTTTTAATTACTTCGAATCTTCTAAATCTTAGGCTTTGCAATGGTTTAACTTACCTTCATTTAAAACTAACGATTTGGAATTGTATAATAGACAATAGGCTATTACCTTAGTTAAAACTTATGTTAATAATGTATGTTAGATTTTAATTTTTAATACGTTAATTACTATAAATATAATAATTATATTTATAATTAAGTCACACTCCATATACACAGCTTCACCAAATTCCTTTTTATATTTTATAAAAAGGAAATTACCTTTATTTAAAACTTACGTTAATAATGTATGTTAGATTTTAATTTTTATACGTTAATTACTATAAATATAACTATTCGTTTATTATAGCTTTTAAAATTGTTAATATCGTGTGATAAAACTGTTCGTTTATACCGGGTGATAAAACTGTTCGTTTATTATAGCTTTTAAACCATTATATTAGATTAATTTTTTAGATTAATAATAATAATCTTTTAGATTAATCATTAATTACCAATTATAAACGGTTTCATATTATTTGTTCCTTTTTTTAAAATGATTACGTTTTAATACTGGTTATTACCATGTGATAAAAAAGGAAGAGTATTTATTATAGATTTTAAACCATTTTTTTAGACTAATAATAACAATTATTTTTAATAATTAACTTGCCATTTGTAAATGTATTAATGCATGGAAAATTAAGCACAGACGCATGTTTTTAATAATTATTATTATATTTTCGGCAACTTACCATTTTAAGTGAACAATTGCCATTTGTTAATGTAATAGAAATTACCATTTTAAGTGAACAATTACCATTTTTTGAACATTTAATAACACAAGGAAAATTAAGCACATGCTTAAATAAGAAATATTTATTATTATATTTTCGGAAACTTACCATTTTAAGTGAACAATTGTCATTTGTTAATGTAATAAAAATTACCATTTTAAGTACAGTGAACAATTGCCATTTTTGAACATTTAATAACACAAGGAAAATTAAGCACATGCGTAAATAGGAAATATTTATTATTATGTTTTCGACATCTTCCCATTTTAAGTGAACAATTGCCATTTTTCGAACATTTAATAATGCAAGGAAATAAAAGCACAGATGTAAATAGGAAATATTTATTATTATATTTTCAGCAACTTACCATTTTAAGTGAACAATTGCCATTTGTTAATGTAATAACGTATGAGGGAGAAAAACAAAGGTTGACTCCATGGCTTTTTAAATAAAGTATGAATTTTAGGTGAACAATTGCCATTTTTGAACATTTAATAACGCAAGGAAAATTAAGCACATGCGTAAATAGAAAATATTTATTATTATGTTTTCAGCATCTTTCCATTTTAAGTGAACAATTGTCATCTGTTAATGTAATAAAAATTATCATTTTTAGTGAACAATTGCCATATTTTGAACATTTAATAACGCAAGAAAAATTAAGCACAAGCATAAATAGGAAATACTCCCTCCGTCCCATAAAGTGTTACCCATTTTGACTAAAGTTGAAATTAAGGGAGGGATAATTTTGTGTTGACTTTCCAAAAATACCCTTGATGTGATGGGTAAAAGTAGGATGCGATGTGTAGATTATTAGAAAAAAGGTATGATGTGATAGGTAGAGTTTGAAAAAGTAGGGGGTAAAAGTGGTTTTTTAATAGAAATGGGTAAGGGATTGTGGGACACAATTTTTTTGAAACGTGTAAATCTTTTTGGGACGGACGGAGTATTTATTATTATATTTTCAGCAACTTACCATTTTAAGTAAACAATTATCATTTGTTAATGTAATAACGTATAGGCGAGAAAAACAAAGGTTGACTCCATAGCTTTTTAAATAAAGTATGGATATGGATAAGCAAGAATATGTGTTATGGGGAGCCATAAGCGAGTCTCCGTGAATAGGCGTTGCCCTTCAAGGCGCCGCCGCCATCACGGGCATGGCCGACCCTTTCATTTTTTAAAAATTTTAAATCAACCCAAATTTAACACACATCAATCTCAACTGATTTAAATAATCCATATTTTCATTCTATCATTTTTGGATTATGCTATGTGTACCCCAAGGTTTGTACACCATTTTGTACCCTGCAGTTTTGCACCAACACTTTGTGTTGGTGTAAAACTAATTTTTGTTAAACGCACCAACATTTGTGTCCGTGTGAATATTTATTAACGCACCAACACTTGTGTCGGTATAAACCATCGAAATGTTTGTGCAAGTCTGTGGTGTACAAATAGGATATATTTTTTGGTGTAAGTGTAGCAATGTCCATCATTTTTTGTCACGCCCGCTTACATGCTTCATAACACGCTCTTTTCTATCTACACCCACCCTCTTACGGTCACGTCCGGTCAAGTTCTGCCATAATACATATACTGTGTGTGATGATCTAATGAAGATGAAATCAATAATGGAGTACTATATATTAGTGTTCCAAACATTAATTCAAAATAATTGAACAATTAGCGGAAAGCAATCTTAACATGACAGGAAGCACGAGAAAACCCCAATATTTCGTACTTAGTCTTTTCCTTTAGACGAGAATCACTCCATTTGCATCGTCTTCCATACAGCGCCATTTCCTGCAGCAACTTCCCATAGTTGAGCAAGAACTTCACGAACCCGATCTCGTCCCCGCTCTCCGAAACCCCGTGGATCTTCACCACCCCTACGTGCTCCAAAAACGACTCCATCGACTCCCTGTGTGACTCCCATAATCGTTCCACCGCCGTTACGTGCTCCATGTCCTTCTTGTACATCTGAGAAAATCGAGCATGCAGTTCAACTCAAGAACTTATAATACACACGTTCTGTTCTGGGAACAGAACGATAAAAACAAACATAATATTAGTGCTAAAAGTAGAATGAACTAACGTTTCTTTCAATCTTGATTATAAGTGTGTGTATGTTTGGAGCAGTCTTGAATAGGTTTGCCAATCCTGGAATGTTACGCTTGTCCAATACTGTGTGCAATTCCAATGATTTTAGCTTGTCAAAACCACTTAGAGAAACACCTGATATGTGATTATTCTTTGAGAGAATCTGGATGCCAAATAACATACATTACTTACAAGAAAGTAGAATTCAAAGTGTACTATTTTAACACGAGAATTGGACAATATGTTTTTCACAGACATGCATAGAGTGTCTGTGTGTGTCTGTTGCAAAACATATGGTCTCGGGTTTGGTGTGACTGTAGCATGATTTTAAAAATAGTGTTATTTACGGTACCTCGATTGAGAGAAATTCGAGAACCAAAGAGCGGGAAGAGGCGATTCCAGACAAAAATTGGGAGACACTGAGAAGCTTGAGGTGAGTGAGGTGTTGAAAACGGATGAAGAAACCAACAAAGGCTTCACGGAGTGAAACTAAATTTTGCAAACAACATTTGTCGGTGACGGTGTTGTCGGACCAAATGATAGATTGGAGTCTCGAGGCATCGATTTTGACCCAAGTGTCGTTAGTGGCGCACGGGTCGAAACAGCGTTCGACCCGCAACCTCTCGAGTTTCGAGCCTGTGATCTCCAAACACTGGAGGTCGCGACAGTTCCCGAGGCTCAAGTGCTCGAGTGCCCGACAGCTTACTGCCAGATGCGTCAGGCCGCAGCAGCTGTCGAGGCTCAGCGTCTTGAGCCTTGGAAACGAGGGGTCGGTGAAGAGGTCGAGGAGAGAGGGTTGGTCGTCGAGAAGGACGAAGGACAATGACAGGGTGTGCAGAGACTGGAACCCGCGGGTCATGACGGAGGAAGGCGGGAAGCGGAAGCCCGGATAGCGGGACTTGAGCTTGAAAACCCTCAACGTGTCGCATGAAATGACGCTCCTAGGGAAATTGAGAAAGTCCCGGGTGGCAACCTCGACGTCGAGTTCCTGGACGTCGAGGTTGACCGCGGAGCGGAGGAGGCGGTTGAGGCGGGAGAAGGTGACGCGGGCCCGGAAGCGAAGTGCCCGCAACGGGGAATGGCGTCCCCGGCGGGTCAAGACCCGGTGCACGGATTCCGCTCCGTTGGCATTATTATTATTGTCGTCGGAGAATGCGGGATCGACGGTGGTGAAATCGAGATCGGGGAAGGAGTGCCAGAGGTGGGTCCATCGCTTGGAGAGGACGCTGGTCCGGGCGACGGATTGGATGGGGAGGAGGGAGAGAATGTGGTGGAGGACGGCGTCGGGGAGATCACTGAGACGGTCGGAGCCGCCGGAGGGGAGTCGATTCAATAGAAGCCTTTTCCTTTTGGCGGATCTAGTTTCCATGAACGCACTGTTTCTGCGATCAGTATATTTTCTCCTGAAGGAGATGAAGATGAAGATGGATCGGAGTTAATTAGTTAAGTTAGGGTTTGAAAGTTTCAAAACAAACGTATGCGTACAATAATGGCTCCTTTTCGTCTAGAGATACTGCTTACACTTATCTTGACTTAACCCTTATCTTGAGATCGGAGTATGGGAGAGATATCTTTTTATTTAGGGAAATTTAGCTTATACTAAATTATAGTGATTTTCTTAATATAATATCATATATTTTTATTTTTAATAAAAAATATTCTAAATAAGACTAAAACATAGAGAAAAAGCACTAAAATAAGACTTTCATGTTTTTTCCCGAAATAGGACTTTGCCCTGTGATAATGTGGTACTGTACATGTGCACATTACTATACTTTTTAGGTAATGTACATGACCATGTTTGGTAATGTAAGTCCTATTTTGGGAATAAAAACATAAAAGTCCTATTTTGGTATATTTTCAATAATTTAGTCATACTTTGGTCTTTCTCCCTATTTTTAAATGTAGTACTTCTCGTCATTCTCCATAGATCATTGTTCAAGTAGATGTCCAGCGTCGTTGGACATTGTTCAAGCTAAATGTCCAACATCACTCGATATTATTCTCACCACTAGACATTATTCAAGTACTATTTAGAAAATAAAAAACTTTAAGTACTACATGGGGAAATGACATATGTTTTGGTACTATTTGGTGTAAATTTTACTTTTATTTAAAAATATTAGATAATTGCACTGTTCTTCACTATTTTTTTGGATTATATATTGACAATATAAATCAAATCTTAGGATAAAAATATGAAACCTTATTTTGGGATAAAAATATTTTACAAAAAAGACAAACTAACACTTTGATCAGTGCAAAAATGACGCAACTAAAATACTACAAATATAATAAACTCGGTCCATTGTACTCAAATAAGATGCCCGTTTATAGCTCTCCCAAATGAGAGGTCACATATTCAAACTTATGTGCGAGCAATAATTCTAGATTTGTACTTGAGTAGAATGAGACTATATAAATAGATATAGATACACGTCTATTTATACAACATAATAAAAGTGAATCTATTCCAAATTGGAAAAGAGAATCTATTCCAAATTGGACAGAGTGCTTGGCAATGTAGAATGGATGGTAACATTTGATTTTAAGGTGTGTTTTAAAGAAAGGGGTATCTCTGATCACTCCCCCATGATTCTTCAAAGAGTAGGGCATCAAACAGCATAGATTCTGTGACATGTGGACACTAGCTCCTGAGTTCTCTAAGATTGTGGAAGAAGTGTGGATGCAAGAACATACAGGTTTCCCGATGTACCAAATCATCCAAAAACTCAAACAACTCAAGCATCCTCTGAAAAGGCTGAACAAGAGGAACTTCCGATCCCTAGATACTCAGATGGATCAGATTAGAATTAAGCTGCAGAATGTCCAGAAGGAAATGAAATACAATTCTTCTGATGGCAGATTACTAGCTTCTAAAAAGGAATTAACCAAGGAACTACATCAGACCCTTAAAGCAAGCTATCTCATGAAATGCCAACAATCCAAAGCTGACTGGATCACTTATGGGGATCAGGATACCAAATTGTTCTATGCATGGGTGAAGAAAAAGAAAGCACAGACCCACTTAACCTCCCTACGGAATACAGAGGGGGTATATGTGGAGGGGAGACTAGAGGTGGCAAAAGTCCTAGTTGATTATTTTCAAAAACAACTGGGGGTAGCAATGGAGACTGATGACATTGATGCTGATATTATTGGTATGGGTCCTACCTTATCCATAAATCAACAACTGGCCCTAATTGTTCCAGTCACTCCCAAAGAAATAAAGAAATGTTTGTTTGATATACCTAACAACAAAAGTCCAGGCCCAGATGGCTATAGCAGTGGTTTTTTCAAACACCAATGGAAGAAAACACGGGTGCTAATTATCAAAGCGACTCAAGACTTCTTCCACAAAGGAGAAACACTTAAACAAATAAACTCTACAAATATTGTGGTTATTCCTAAAACTGATGATCCAAAGAGTCCCACCGACCTGAGACCTATAGCCTGTTGTAATGTCCTTTATAAGGTAATCTTAAAAATCATATGTGGCAGATTGAAGGCTATATTACTAGAGATTATTAATCTGAACCAAGGAGCATTTCTAGCAGGAAGAGAATTAGTACACAATGTACTTTTATGCCAGGAGATTGCAAAGGGTTATAAGAGGAAAGATATCTCTCCAAGATGCCTAATGAAGTTAGATCTCCAAAAAGCTTATGACAACGTTAGCTGGAAGGCTATTGACCAACTGTTGAAGCTTCTCAAGTTTCCCTCAATATTTACCAAATGGATTAATTTTTGTGTGACTACCCCCACATACTCCGTACTACTGGATGGCGAGAGTTTTGGATATTTCAAAGGAGGAAAGGGGCTCAGGCAAGGGGATCATGTATCTCCTTTACTATTTGTTATTATTATGGAATACCTCACTAGAGCATTTCAGTATTATGCCACCAAAGAGAAGTTTGGATATCACCCACTTTGTAAATCCTTGAAGGTTATCAATCTAGTCTTTGCTGACGATTTGATAGTTGCATGCAAAGCTGAAGAAAAATCAATCAAGGGCATTATGAAGACTTTAGAGCATTTTAGAAATACTACCTCCCCCTAAATCTGAGATTACTTTTGGAGGGGTAAACAGACAGATGGAGGACAGATTTCTCCAGATAACCAATATGAGGAAGGGGTCCCTACCTTTTAGATATCTGGGATCTCCAATTACAGCAGCAAGGATTAGTATTAAGGACTGTGAGAGTCTGGTGGATAAAATGACTATCAAAATCAATGCGTGGTCATCCAAGAATTTATCATATGCTGGAAGGGTGAAACTGATTAACTTAGTTTTATACGGAATTCTGACCTTTTGGAGCAGACTATTTCTCATCCCCTCAATGGTCATGAAAAGAATACAAGCTATTTGTAGGAATTTTTTATGGGGATCCTCTAAGGAACACAGGAAAGTCCCCCTAGTTGCATGGGAGGAGGTATGCCTTCCTAAGCGATTTGATGGATTAGGCCTAAAGAATATGATTCTTTGGAACAAAGCCAACATAATGAAGCTAGTGTGGGACATAGCCTTGAAAAAGGATATCTTATAGATCAAATGGATCCATAACAAATATATTAAAGACTCTACGATATGGGAATGTCAAAATAGAAGGGATGATTGCTACTATTGGAAAAAAATCCTTCAAACTAGGGACTGTTTTGGGAGTATGGATAAATCTGCCCCCTATACCCCAATACTGGGATATCAATGGCAATTGGGGGAATTGAAGGACTGGAAGTGGAAGGACATGGTCTATAATAGGTTCACCATTCCCAAACATAAGTTTATCTTTATTCTGCACATGTACCGTCTCCAGGGGAGTGTGTACAGGTATCCAAGATTGGTGTCATTACAAGTTCGAGGGAGGAATTGTCAATGAAATGATAGAACACATCCAGAGGATTGCACCAAAGAAGAGGCAGAGAGGAATAGCAGCAGTCTTTGCAGCATGTCTCTACAATAATTGGAAGTGCAGAAACCAAGCATTACATAACAATACTCTCACTCCAACTGAGGAAGCAGTGCAATGGATTAAATATTCATCTAGCACATACTTGCGTTCAAAATGCCAGCTTTGAATAAAATTTGTGAGAGCGTTAATAGGTTGTACTAGAGCAGTAGCTTATATCTGAGTGTGTTGCTTTATGGGGGCTATAGACAGTAAGTAGCCATTCTTTGTAAGGGGTTTGTTTGTACATTTGAGTTGAGACATTGAATATATTTGCATTTGATTCAAAAAAAAAACATAATAAAAGTGATTCTAATTTTGTTATTGTTAATTATTGTATGAATGATCTTATTTGTTCAGGATTTTTCTTGTAATTCTTCGTATAAAAATGAAATACGACTATATAAAGAAAATAAAAAATAATAATAAAAGAGTTACGTATAGTAGACGCTTGATTCAGTATTCTACACACTTATGGATGTGAGCATAGTCTATAGACATCTTTCTGTCTAATTAAATTTTTAACGTTAGAATTCTTGACACTTGAAGGAATTGTTTAGATATTAATTTTAGACAACTTCAAGTAGTGTCTAGTTTTTTTGAAATAAATGTCAAGAATGATTCATATTTAAGGATTATTATGAATTGTAAATGATTGAAAAAATCTCTCTAAAACATAACTAATTAAAATGCTAAAATAGAAGTCACCTTGTTTAATCACCAAAATAGAATTATTTTGCACAACAATTCAAAATTTGCACACAGGCAAAAAGATGATATTATTTCCGGCAATAATGAAAAATGAGATTATTTTTAAAAAATCGTGAAAACTGAAAAGATGTAATTATTTGTGATAATTTTGGCTTTTCCTTCGGTGCCATTTGTAAAGTGAGGGTTTTGGTGCCCTCAATACATGGAGCAATTAGAGGATGACACGTGTACCCTATTCCACATAATTTAATACTCTCTCCGTCCCAAATTATAATGCCTGTTTACTATTCACAGGGTCAAACTTCATTCACTTTCTTTATCTATTTTCATTAGCAATTCGATAAAATAAAATATTATTATCACTACTAGTTTTGTAGATTTTTTGATGTAGTTTTTTTAATATGTAATTTTTATTTTTTAATTCTATACCATTTGTCATATAAAATTGTTTGAAAATAATTTCAGTCAAACATCGTAAACCGAAACAGGCTTTATAAAATGGAACGGAGGTAGTACGAAGTACTCCCTCCGTCCTAAAACTTTCTTCCCGTTGCGCAAAACGAAGAAAAATCACATGTTTTTTCAATCTATTTTATTTAAATATTGGTATAGAAATAAAAAATAAAACATACATATTTAAAAACTACATCAAAAGTTCAACAAAACAAGTGGTGACAAGAATATTTTATTTTATCATATAGGCCATAAAAAACACAAATAAATGTAAATTCCAGTGAAGTTGGAATAATGTTATGGGAAGAAAGTTTTAGGACGGAGGGAGTATATTTTTGTTTATTACAACCAGATCAGGCCCAGATCTAAAATTCAATTATTATTTATTTGGATCTACCCTTTCTCCCATCTTCCGTTAACTTCTGCGCCGTCTCCAACATCTCTTCGTTTCTGCATCGCCGTCTCCCTCCAACATCCTCTCCATCTCCAGCGTTTTCTTTCCCGGAATCAGAATCCGCCCGCTGCCACCCTTCCTCTGTCGTCCCTAGGTCGGATCTTATCTCCAAAATTAGGAATGAATTTCCAAGTTTCTTTCTTCTAATTTTCCATAAGCCCTAGATTGGTGCTCCTCTCCTTTATTTTTCAGGTTTTATTCTACTTATTGTTTTGGTGCGAAAATGCAATTCTTATGAGTCTATGAGTAATTGTGTTCCAGAGTGTAATTTTCTTGATTTAAAAATGTCAATTTGTCATTTTGAGTTTGATTTGCAGCATGATTTAGTATAAAAAAGGTATATGTGATGTCGTATGTTGTGCCGAAATATCTCTGTAACTTTTTTTGTTTTTTTGTTAAATATTACTCTTGATTTTGTCTTTTTTTTATTAATTTTTTTTTGTTTTTTTTGTGAGAAATACGAAATAATAATTGAATTTTTGACCTGATTGTAATAAACAAAAATATACTCCGTATTAAATTATGTGGAATAGAGTACAGATGCCATCCTCCCATTGCTCCATGTATTGAGGGCACCAAAACTACAAATGGTAGCGAAGGAAAAGCCCATAATTTTTCTTTTAACAAATCAAAATTTGTGAGGTTGTGGTTTATTTAAAGCAAAGAGAAAGGATGATAAGGACGACAAAATTTAAATAATTATGAGATGGAGAGAGTGTCATTTTGAATAATAGAGTTGTTGTGTCCAATCCAATGGCATGAAAAATCAGTTATTCTGTCCCGTCCCGTCTATGATGTATCGCCAAATATATGGCTCTGTATCTCTCTATTAAACTATCACTCCAAAATCTCCAAGTTCTTTCCTTTCCCTCTCTTTACCCTACAATTCCTCTCCCTTTTTGTTCAAGATTATCCAATCTGCACATTTTTTTCTCTTCTTGGGGACCCTATTCAAACGCAAATCATCATCCCAGCAGATTCTTATGTCCGGAGTCATACTACTCTTGGTTTCTTGAAAACTCGAAGCACAGATCCCATCTAGACCAAATCCATGCCCAGTTATACCTATCCGGTCTGCAAAACAATGGGTTTATACTCGCTAAATTCATTCATGTTTGCTCGAATCTTGGCCAAATCGGGTATGCCCGCCAGGTGTTCGATGCATTTCCTGACCCGTATGTGTATTTGTGGAATGCCATCATCAAAGGGTATGCAAGACACGATCTTTTTATCAACGCCATTGACACTTACAGAACTATGCAACTTGTGTTCGAAAGGCCCGACAGTTTTACGTTACCTTACGTTCTTAAGGCATGTGGTGACTTGCTGGCTTTTAAGGTCGGTTGCGCTGTTCATGGACAGGCTTTTAGACTAGGGTTCGAATCTGATTTATTCGTGCAAAACAGTGTTGTCTCATTTTACACGAAATGTGGAAGGATTGATCTTGCTCGTATTTCGTTCGACCGGATGCGTGACAGGAATATTGTCTCGTGGACTTCGGTTATTTCTGGGTGTTCTCAGAATGGACAACCTGTTGAGGCTCTTAAGATATTCAGCGAAATGAGAGGATTGAATGTGGTGCCTGACTGGGTGGTACTTGTTACTGTTCTGACAGCTTATACTAATATAGGGGACTTGAAAAGCGGCGAGAGCCTTCATTCTCTGGTGATCAAAATGGGTGTTGAGTTTGAGCAAGACTTGCAGGTTGCACTCACAAGTTTGTATTCAAAATGTGGACAAGTTAGGACTGCAAAACATCTATTTAACAAAGTAGAGGTTCGGGATGTGATTCTTTGGAATGCCATGATATCTGGTCTTGCAAAACAAGGTCAAGCCAGTGATGCTGTTAACCTTTTCCAAGAGATGATATCAAAGAATATCAAACCTGATGTCGTAACTATACAGTCTACGATCATGGCTTGTGCACAACTGAGATTTCTTGGTCATGCAAGATGGATCGGAGATTATGTTACCAACAGCAGCTACCAAGACGATGTTGTTGTCAATACATCTCTTATCGACATGTATTCCAAATGCGGATGTGTGAATTCTGCCCGCAAAGTATTTTATAGGGCAAAAAAGAAAGATGTGGTTTTATGGAGTGCTATGATAATGGCTTATGGCTCGCATGGTCGGGGGAGAGAAGCCATTGACCTTTTCTATGCAATGAAACGGTCAAAGGTCTCTCCGAATGACGTGACTTTCCTAGGGCTCCTTGTGGCTTGCAATCATTCAGGGCTCATACAAGAGGGATTAGAATTCCTCAACTGCATGAGGGATCACGGAATCAAACCGCACCACCAGCATTACGCTTGTGTTGTTGATCTGTTGGGTCGTGCCGGGTATCTAGAGAAGGCACACGGCTTAATCGAGACAATGCCAGCTGAACCATCTGTTTCAGTTTGGAAGGCACTACTGAGTGCATGTAAGATGCATTGCCATGTGAGATTGGGTGAGAATGCTGCACAGAGACTTTTTGCATTGGATCCACTTAACAGAGATCACTATGTGCAGTTGTCCAATCTCTATGCCTTGGCACACATGTGGGATAGAGTTGGAGATGTAAGAATGTTGATGAAGGAGAAGGGATTGAACAATGAGAAGCAAGGGCGTAGTGTTATTGAAATAACTTGAGTGCCAAGGACATATTCTTACATAAGTCAAATGCTCCATTTGTTGTGTGTAATTTTGTTCTTGATAGGACTTGGCTCTCTTTTTAATAAGTTAAAAATCGTGTGATTGAAATTTGTTTAGAAAAGATAAAATAAAAGTAATTATTGGGTACAAAATATTCATTCATTTTGTTTTTTTTTCAATTACACTTGAGTGACTTTGGCTTCGGAATATTTTTTAAGAAGTACGGAGTAAATTATAAAAAAAATTAATTAGATTTGTGTTATTAAAAACTTTCATGGAGTACTTTTTATTTAATTTTTTTTATGTTAGATAAAAAATAGTCAAAATACTCACTGAGGGAACCATAAAAAGTCAAATTATGCGAATATGTTTGAACCCATATTGAATGTTTTTAAAAAGAAAATTGCCCACACTCCCTCATGTTCACCAAAGGAATTTGTGGGTTAGAAATCTTTTCTAAACTATCTCAATTTGGCCTTCATGGTTCCAATATATTATCATTATAATGCAAATCAATGATCAAAGAATATGACCATAAAAGCCAAACAACAATTTACCCAGTGGAATCCCATAAGTCAGACCATAACAGTCAAAATGGAAACTTATTTTTGAGACAGATGGAATACAAAACTAACAAGTCAAATGAAAGCAGAATGCAACAACCTCAAGGAAAGATACTTAAATGAAAACCAAAACCACTTCATTCAAAATTCAAAATTGGTATAACATCACATATTTATTAAGCGTTTGATAGAGAAAGATATACGACTGTGGCTACATTGTTACATTGGAGCTGTGTAGGGTGACAACCAAGTATGAATTTACATGGACGAAGGATAAACCATTCTGTTGCATACTACCTTCCCCTGCTGTGTATATAGATTCCCAGATTTCTCATTCACCTAAACATTCAAGAGTAAATAGGAAACACCTTTGAAACAACATATATACATTATATACAAATGAAGGCTAATGTTGTGCTAAAAGTTAGATTAATTCACCAGCCAACAAATTTGTTGTAGACCCTTTAACCAGAAGCAGCTTAAGGAGACGAACTCTCTTCATCTGAACTGAAATCATCGTCAATCTTCCGTGATGTTATTGCTGGGAATAGGTGTTGGCGAACAACATCAGGCAAAGGATCCGTTTGTGAATCTTGTGAACGAGTTGTTGAGGTTGATGATGTCAGTTCCTTTGCTGGAACCTTAACCTTTGACTTTGCTGTCTTTTCAACCTCGTTGCATACCTTGTCCAACATTATCAAGAAGTCGCGGACAATCACAAAGAGACGCAATCCTTCATCTTTTCCTGAACTCCCATGGAAGTAATCTCCCGTGCTCTTTACCAAAGCCATAATCTTTTGTTCTTCGTTCAGCAGCATAGGGATTTCCCCTTCTGCGTGTTCCAAGAAGTTAGTCAGCGTTTCTGAGAACCCACTGTCGTCCTCTGAACTCATCATCTCATTGTTTAAAAACTCCTTGGCTTTTAGGAGTGAATGCCCAAGTTTTGACACTGACTGTGTTAGGCTGTCACCATCTATGACGGCTGCCCTTTTCACATTCTTAAGCTCATCACTGAGACCGGAGACTGCTTGAAGGCCGAGAGTTCTATAATACTCCCTGGATTCATGTTGGGAATCCTCTACAAGATCTTCGGTTTTTACACTGGACATACTATGGCTCTCCCTTAATCGACGGGCAGCTCTTATGCCTTCGGATCTAATGATTTCTTGAACAACAAAATGTAGGAGTGTGGTCTTGCCATCAGTTCCTTTCACATCTGAGAGTTTCAAGAGAGTATCAAGTTTGAAAGCTTGGGCACCGCCTCGGTAAGTCCCATTATTCATGCGGTTCCCGGTTTTTAGAACAGCTTCTAGAAGTTTCAGGAAGAGCCGGCTGCTTTTTAGCTCATTACATGCCACCTATAAGATAAGTACATAGGGTAAGCAAAGTGCTAGCTAAATAGATAATATATTAAACGGAACGAACATTTAGAGGCTTTAGAGTTTGGAAGCTTATTTCTGAGTAGGTGTAACCGTGTAAGGGAATGGGTACACACACCATCCTTAGACCCTACTTCTTGTAGAACTGTACTGAGTTTTTTTTATAGTTTGGGGGCTTACCTCTAGGGTTGCAAAGGACTCCTTGACGGAGGAAACTTCTTCTTGAAGATTAATCATGAACAACAACGATTCCATCCTTTTGAAGGCAAAGGGTATCTCAATAATAGTTTTTAGGAAGCGGTCTGCAGGGCCAAGCTGAGAAATTTCCCCAGCATATAACCTCAATTTAAGTTCTTCATCTGATGTTGGTGCCATCTTCAAAAGAGTCTGAATGAGCTCAGGTGGTAACTCATTACCTAGGATCACATTAAGCACGAATATTCAATTAATAATTAAAATTAACAATAGAAGAATACACACTCCTAGCCCACAACAACTGAGCTACCTTCTCTTAGTGCATCACAGACTTCCTCAGTTGTCACATTCAATGCTTTAAGAAGTATAGCTAGGTTTTGTGCCTTCTTAGCCTCAATTATCTGAATATACTGCAGAGTAGAACTCAAAGACGAATCTTTCTTGCGCTCATTTTTGTTTTGCTCTGCTGGAGAGTACCCAAACAATGACTCCATCATTTCCTCATTAAACCTGATCACACCACACAAGTTCAAAAGCTTTCATGGCGAAAAGATAGAAATAGTAACAAGGAATGACATGATCCTTACTGGAAAGAACCCGCTTTAATGTCATGCCAAACCATTGAGTGATCGGGACTTGCATTGACCTTGTCCCAGAAAAAAGGCTTTAGTTTAGTCTTGGGAGACCCTCCTCCGGTTTCACTTCCCTCACTTCCAGAAGATTGCCCTCTGCGGTGTGGTCCTAGAGGCGAAGACTTGGGGGCACCTGGCTTAGGTGGGTTAGGAGGAAGGCGAGCTTTCGGAGGGGGAGGGGCTTTTGGAGCTGGAGGTTTAGGTGGTGGCGGTACTGGTGGTGATGGAGAGGGTGGAGGTGGAGCAGATTTTCCTGGAGGAAGCGGTAATGCTTGAAGGTTCACAGTAGCTTCGTGACCCATAGTTTTGGTTCCTGATGAACTGTTTCCACCAGAGAGATTACTCACATTGAGCGAAGTCTGGGAATCTTTATTGCTAGAACTGCTTATGCTCTGAGTGTTTTGTGAAGAACCTAAACAAATAAACATTCAAAATGGTCAGTACAGCATAAAACTTTTGGGAGGATGAGAGTAATAACTAATAAAAACCATAGCGAGTATATATATTGTGATCACATAAAACTCAGCTGTCTTTTTATATACTCCGTAATAAAGAGCAGAAATATTACCAGTGCTATTCTTAAGAAGAGGTCTTCCATCTCGTTGCCCACCATTATCCTCTCTTTTCTTAAGGCAGCAAATCAAGAATAGAGCCACAAAGGCAAATGCTGCCATGGTGGACCCAGCAATGGCAGCTATCCTAAATGTTCTTCTATCATCATTATTTTCTGGTGTGGCATTTTTTGGCTTCCCAGGAGCACTTGGTGGTTTTGGAGGACTGAAAGGTTTTGGAGCACTCGGGGGTTTCGGAGCATTTGGTGGCTTTGGAGCACTTGGTGGTTTTTGAGCACTCGGTGGTTTTGGAGCACTTGGTGGTTTCAGAGCATTTGGTGGTTTTGGAGCACTCGGTGGTTTTGGAGCATTTGGTGGCTTTGGAGCACTCGGAGTTTTCGGAGCATTTGGTGGTTTTGGGAGGGCACTTGGTGGTTTTGGGAGATCATTTGGCGACTTTGGGAGATCATTTGGTGACTTTGGGAGAGCATTTGATAGGTCAGGAGTAACAATCTGTAGCTGGAGAAGATGGTTTGGTGGTTTGTGTGGAGAAGTGTGAAGGGAAACGAAAAATGGACGAGAGAGCTTGTCAAGGGGGAGATTTTGAGTTGCAGACTGTGAATGAGGTTTAAGAACTTGTTTGGATTGAGAAGGAGAGTGATGAGAGCCAACATGAGCAGGATGAGATGATGGGACTGGAGATGGAGCAGAAGTACGCAAAGACACGCGCTTGTTCTTCTTTTTATGTCTCAGAGATCTCCTCGGCGTAAAATCTTTGTACTTGATAAACAGAGAGTCAAGCTCATCATGTAAAGAGGGGTTTTCATCAAGTATGCAGCCCAAAGGAATTTGCTTCTCTTTAACCTCCCATAATGTTCTTTTCGCCGACAAAGTTTTGTGAGTCCTTACAGAACTATGACTTCCCTCGGATGGATGCCGAAAATGGGAACCTTCTTTGGGATTCTCTTGCAATTGTTTCATACAAAGAATCCACACCTGTTCTGCCTGTTTTTCACAATAGATCAAACACTATATTCATCCAAAGAATCTCATGCAAATACTTCAGAGATTAATAAGCATTAAGCAACCAAATCTTGGCATATCCCACAAGTAAAAATTATAAAACTAAGAATCTACAGCTACTTTTCCATACATTGGCTCCATGGTAGCTTCTCTTTTTCCACATTTATTTCCAATTGAACATAAATTTCCACAAATTGTCCAGACGTTTTTTTCATCAATCATCAAACTAAGATATGTGTCAAAATCACCTACAACAACAAAACAAGTACGATCCCGACTCCATTTGGTTTCCAAGGCCAAGACACAACCTTAACATTTGTAAAAACCAAAGAGGTTGTTTCATCTACTGCCCAAAACTTCATAGAGAGTAAGAAACGAGGGAAAGTTTAATGTAACATTTTGATTTAGTCCGAAACTGAAACATTGTTAAAATCACATAAGAATCATGAAAAAAAACAACTAGAATGACAGAAGGCCGGAAGATTAAAATGCCCTACCGAATGTTTGTCTGTCTTTTGAACATCCAAATGACCTAAATGGCCCCCAGAAAGCTTCCAACCGGAATCAATGGAAACCAAAGCGGTCAGAAAAACAACAACAAGAAGGACGACGAATCTAGCCATTGTCATGCCAGATTCCCAAATTACCCTTCCCATCCATGACCCCTCCCCCCTCATCTCATCTCGTATTATTATTATTATTATTATTATTATTATGCACACAACGGCCCAATTTCAAGAAACGCCGGCGAAATCAAGAAAATTCGGCCTGTGATTCGAACCCCCCCAACGTCACAAAAGAAGAAAAAAATCCCAAATTGCAAGTGGGTTCGATCGCAGATAGAGATTTCGACCCCGACCCAGGCCGTAAAGCCTTTTGAAGGAAGGGGTTCGATCGCAGAGAAATGCAGATGGCTATTGATATATTGTTGCCATGGGATTTTTGCTCGCTGGAATGTTTGTTTTATTGTTTTAAGGAGGCAAAATAATGGAGGGGGCGGACAGGAAGATGACGAAATAAACGTCCACACAACTTTTAAATTCGAAACTTGTAAAAAACACGCTTTTGGCCCTTCGAGTAGTTCAAACTTCAAATGCGGGATTCTTTCTTGAGAAAACTTTTTTACCAGAGATTCCCATTTGATTTTTTAGGGTTAAATTTGATGAATTTTAATGATTATTTATTCTTGATTTATTTTGTATATTGAAATAATATAATAAAATTTTAAAAATTCTAAATTTGATAGTTTTAATGAGGTTTTTTTATACTAATACATATACTAATATTTTTATTAAGGAAGTTTAAAATTCATCTAACTTGACTTGAAAAAATCAAACTAAACCAATAAGGTTGAAATTTTTTTGATCAAATTGTTATAATATCTCTCTTCTATAATGTTTGGATTTCCACTTCATGTACTCGAACCAAACACATGAGTGAAAGTTGAATTTTTCACTCCAATTTCTTTCTCTCAACTTCCTTTGCCAAACATACACTTTTACACATCTACTATATATATAAAAGCTGATGGAAAATCAGTTCCAATTTCATGCATCAATTTTCCCGCCAATTTTTTGATCCTATGGCTAAGAATACTGGGATACACATGGCAGCTCCGCATTAAATCTCAAATCCAGAAACATATACAATCACTTCTGGACAAAACATATACATGGCATCTAATCTACTCTATAAAACCAAGCCAGTATTTCAAAAATGTACTAACAAATCAACTGCCACTGCCCCAATATTGCCACTGCCCCAATTTCATATCATCACGCCAATGAATCAGCCACTGCCCCAATTTCATTTCTTTGAATCTTCAGAATTTTCACCTCTAACCATTTCAAATGAGGTAATAAAAAGAGCCTCATAAACAAAATTTTACTATGAAAGTTTGAAATGATAAAGCCATTTCAAAGGCCATTTCAAAAGCAGAAAAGAGCAATATGTAAATCCAGTATAAGGCCCATTTCAAAGCTACTGCAAAGAGGCTCAGATATTCACTATATATATATATATATATATATATATATATATATATATTCATTACAAGGAAATAGAATAATAACGCCATGGCTGCTACTGGCTGGGCAGATAACCACGCCATGTTACGTATTATTTAAGTAATCAAAATAAAAGAAAACATATAAAAGCAATCATCACAGCCTCTTTACTGTTCAAATTATTCCAGCTTCACAGACAACCCAGAGAAATGTACAATCAGAAATAGACAAAATCCAGGTATCATTTTCAGAATTGGAGCAGTCTGTATAAGTGCAGGAAAATGCATGGTTCAAACTAACTCACCATCAGCTTTGTGGTCTAAGGCAAGACAATATCCTCTTTCCATTTCAAATGAGGTATTATAAAGAGGCTCATACCCCCAAATTGTTTCTTTGAAATCTAAAATGAGGTATATTTGGTTAGATGGGGATACTGACCATGAGCTTAATGGCTTAAGGCCAGACAGTATCCTCTAAGTTTATACTCATTACAAGGAAAAAGTTTATGATAACGCCATGGCTGCCTCTGGCTAGGCCGTAGCCACGCCAAGATACGTTTTATTTCCTTAATTTCAAAAAAAAAAATATGGTAAAACATAAAAATAAATCATCACAGCCTCATAATTTTACAAAGTATACCATTTAAAGGGCAGAATTTTACAAAGTATACCATTGCCTTATAAAGAGGATGAAATCAATTAAGTGGACCAACTATAACTGTCTTTATAAGGGCAGAATTAGAGGATACTGTCTTGCCAGGAAAATTACCATTTGAAGGTAATATAAAGAGGCTCAGATATTCACTATTTAGATAATCATTTTAAGAAAAAGGTTATGATAACGCCATGGCTGCTCCTGCCATCCAGGGAGCCACGCCAAGATACGTATCAATTTCCTTAATTTCAGTAAGCTCATTAAGAGAAAACATATAAAATCTATCATCATAGCCTCTAAAGTCTACAAGTCAATCCAGCTTCATACCCAAAGTATACCATTGCTGCAAAAATATGTTGAAATCACTTAATTACAAGACAAAGAATGGAACTTGGTCCCTATAGCACATGACAATTACCCATTACAAGTGCTAGAGNTCCCCATGTATATATACCCTTCCACTCTTACACACTACACACCCCTAAACCTTACTTTCTTAGCCTAAATCCCTGAATCTTCCCTGTAGACTAGCCCTATAGTTTTAAAAGAAATGAAAGTGTCTAACAACAAAAAAAGGTTTATTTCAAAATATAGTAGTCTTAATAACATCCCACAATCGATTTATGAATATAATACGGATCGGAATATAACATAAGGTCTTAAAATTTTAATTTTTAGAAAATAATTTTAAGATAAATCTGAAATTATTTTTTAAAATTTTCAAAAACAAGCGAAGGTTAGAGCAAATCATAAACATTTCAAAATTAATACTACCAAAAACTCTATTAAAAATCAAATAGATGTCATCTGAATAGTGAATATACTTTAAAATCTGCAAAATACAATTTCTTACAAACAATTTTCGAAAAAACGCCAAATGTATTACTGAGTATATAAAATAAAGGAAAAAGGTGTTTAATTATAAGAAGTAAGCAAACCTTCTATCCATGGTAATCAAGGGATCTGCGAATGACGGCGACGAAGATGGGATAGGAATTGAAGAAGAATGAAAAAGAAAGAATGAAAGGATAAAGAATAATGCAGAACAACCTAGAGAATGGAAGGGAGATGAGATGGAGGAGTCGGCGGATGCTAGGTTTTAATAGATTTGGTTTTGATTTAATTTACTAAAACATAATGACTTTCCTAATATAGGATCATATGTTTTTATTTTCCAATGTAGTACTTTTGGTCATTATCAAATAGTCATTATTCAAGTAAATGTCTATCATTACTGGACATTATTCCTCCCACAAGGTCATTATTAAGTCCAATTTAGAGAATAAAAAAGTTTAAGTCCCACATTAGGAAAGTTATTATGTTTTAGTCCTATTTAGTGCAAATTTCACTTGATTCATTTTACTCCCTCCGTTCCTAAAATATTACTCTCTCCGTCCCTACATATTTCTCACATTTCTATTACCAAGATCAAATATAAAGTTTTTTCAATTCATTTTATTTACATTTTGGTATAAAAATAAAAAATAAAATTTACATATAAAAAAACTACATGAAAAGTTATTCGAAATCAGAGGTGTCAAGAATATTTTATTTTATCAAGTAACCAATGAAAACGTAGAAATACACAAAAGTTCTCGCGACTCCTGAAAAAGCAATTGTGGCAAATATTTTGGGACGGAGATAATAGTACGGAGTACATTTTATATTACTCCCTCCGTCCCAAAATATATCTCACATTTTTTTTCAGCAGTCGCGGGAGCTTTTATTTATTTCTACGTTTTCATTGGTTATTTGATGAAATAAAATATTCTTCACAACTCTTATTTTGAATAACTTTTCATGTAATTTTTTGATACGTAAATTTTTTTATTTCTATACCAATATGTAAATAAAATGAATTGAAAAAAACTTGATATTTTACCTCGGTAATAGAATTGTGAGATAAATTTAAGGACAAATGGAGTAATACATTATATTCCCTCTGTTTCTTAAAACAATTCATATTTCATTTTTACATGCAAAATCTCATCTTTCTTTAAACAATTTTATTAACAAAATAAGTGTTGACAAGAATATTTTATTTTGTCAAATAACTAATGAAAAAACAAAAAACAAACAAAAGTTATCGAGATGCCTTGAATAGTAAATATGAATTGTTTTAAGAAACAGAGAGAGTAATAATTTACGAATAACATCTTACTATACATATCTAATTTAGTCATTTAAAGTTGAATCAGTAATTTAATACAACATATATAAAGTGATACAGAGTATTTATTTATTTGATTATCAAATAGTAAAAATGACACTAAATTATTTGTTTTTGTCAAAAATGTCATTGTCTTTTGTTTTCTTTCCATAATTCCATCGAAGTCTCTAAAATATTTAAAAATGTCACTTAAGTATTATATTTTTTCAAAATATCACTCTCGATTTTTTCTTTCAATAATGTCATTTAATTTTCTAAAATGTTCCAAAATATCACTCAAATATTTGTAAATATTCAAAATGATCTTTAATAGGCAATTTTTTGTTCCTTTTCTTTAAATTTATACATTTTTCTAAATTTTCCCTACACTTTTGTAATACTCCCTGTGTTCCAATTTATGATCTTGATTAGATTTGACATACATTTTAAAAATAAATTTAAGTTGTTGAAAGTGATGTAGATGAGAGAAACATATAGCAGGTCACAAAATGTTTTCTAAAAGATTAAAGAAAACAAGTCAAACATAAAGCTTCTTTTAGACATTCGAAATAAGAAAGCAATAAGATTAATTTGAAACAGGGGGAGCATGTGATATTTTGTCACTTTTCACTAATAAAAATATTACTTTCATTTCAAAAAATTCTAGCATTTTTTAACATATATTACCAAAATATATCTTACTTTATTTGTTATCTTTCTAATAAATTAACACGTGACTTGAAAAGTTTTCTTTCATGTAAATAAATACCAACATCACACTCTTCATTCATAGATAAAAAAACTAAATTGATTATTTTTGGAGATATTCAAAAAACAAAAGAACTTTTAGTGGAATTTTTGAAAAAATTAGAAATTAATGGCATTACTGGAAGAAAAAAAGATAGTGGCACTTTTGACAAAACATAATACTCCGTACTTAATTGACACTTTCAAACGTTTTTAAGAGTTCGATGACGTTTTTGAAAAAAATAAAAGGCAGTGACCTTTCTTGACAAAATGAATAGTTAGGTGACGTTCTCTTTAGTGTACGGATTATCGAATGTTGTCTTTTTAATAGTATCAAATGTTATCTGATCTCCTTAATAAAATGATAAAAAAATTCCATGCTTTTTTAGTTTATTTTATTTAAGAATTGGTATAAAATAAAAAATAAAGTATGACTTACATGTATAAAAAGTACGTCAAAGTTTTACAAAACAATGTTGATAATAATATTTTATTTTATCAAATAACCAATAAAAAATTACAAATAAATATAGGTTATTGTGAATTTTAATACAAGAGCATATATTGTGAGACGAATGAAGTATTTTATGACGTAAAAGTCACATCGTATCTTGAAAGATATATTTCTTGCAATTTTTTGATAAATTATGTGTTTATTTAGCAAAAAAAAGACATCCTTGATTGACGTATAATTGGTAATATAATATATGTAGTATGCTCGGAAAGCTCTCTCTTTTATTGTTTGTATTGTTTGAAATGAAAGATGTAATAATATTTATAATTGTATGAGCATACATATGTACATGTTTTTATGTTGAACAGTGTTACATATAAAATTTACTACTATCTATATTTTAAGATATTATATCATCTAAAACTAATTACCAATAATTTAAAACATTTGTAATCATCTTGATTTGAAGATGCATACTTTCCCGTGCATCGCACGGGTGATGCACTAGTTAAAAACTTAACACATATCACCTTATATTGAAGAGAAAATTACTTAAAAAATCAAAATATATTTATTTTCCCTAAATAGGATCTTATGTTTTTATTTTTCTAACTAGTATTTAATTATTTAATAATTGATTAATTGTTAATATAAATGTACCAAAATATCCTTTTAGTTTTTAAATCCTAATTTATAACTTTACCCAGCCGCAACCATGTCATCCATTATAATTCACTGTCGTCACAACTCACAATCATTGTAGACCGCCCATCCACCGTCGCCGCCTATTATCTCCAATAACGTCCTATACCAGATGAACATTATCTACTATGTTCAAAGTCTTTATATTCATAAATAAAAAAGATATTATTCACAACATTTTAATTACTCATTGTCCAATCCATTGCATTTGTTGTCATTACAATCTCAATATCCTCGATCTTATCTAATAATGTCCTCTGCCGAATAGGCATTGTCCACTATGTTCAAAAATGTTTTTATCCATTGAAGAAAAGAACAATGTCCATGGTCTTTAATGTCATTGTAGTGACGATGAATAACAATGGGAGCACAAAGAATGATTAATAAAAGAAAGATGAAGAAGAACAAAAATTGAGAAGAAGAAGAGGAGTGTCGATAGGGAGGTCCAAAAAAAAGTACTTCCTAAATGCTTGGCGACAGGGAAAATTGAGAGTAGTGATTTGGTTTAGGTTTAATACTAAATAAGTAAATATTTGTGCTTAATTATATTTTTGTAAATGCATATTATTATTTAATAATTAGTATTTAATTAACTCCTATATATAAAATTAAAAGTAAGAGGTCTTATTTAGGGAAATGCATGATATTTTACTCCTATATGTAACAATTTTTACATATTAAAGATTCATACTAGGTGGACTGTCTGCAATGAGGTTGAGATACAGTTAGATCTCTGGTAATTTAAAGTTGCGACAAATCTTATCTATATCATCTTGTATAAACATAGCTCCAAGGAAGCCTATATGCCAATGTGAGATCTACTACATCTTACCCTCATTGCAATTAAAATTTACAAAACAAGCTAATTTGAAGATTCATTAATGATGTGTACGTTTAAAACATAATAAAAGATCTTTCGCCTTTTGGTTTAACTACTATCACAACATCTTCATATCTTCAACAATGATATTTTTGAATCGTGGGATAATGTTCTATGTGAGCTAGATAATATTTTACTTTTCAAGTAGCTTTACCTAAGGTAATATCGTGCAATATAAGAGCATGAACAATGGCGAGCTCTCTGTCTCTCTCTCCGTCTCTCGCGTGGCAAGTGAGTGAAGTGGCAAATTCTACGGTGGCAAGTCATTATTTTATCACTTCTAACATTTTTTAATGTTTTTTAAACATAAAAAAATATTTTTATTATTTATTTTATCAAAAAATTATTCTACTTTCTCATACTTTTTTTTCACAAAAAAAAATTAAAAAAAATTAAAAAAAGAAAGAAAAAAAGAATGGTTGAGTGCCACACTTATGTCTCACCAAGCAAGACATTTTGTCCTTGTCATGCCATGATATGAGAGAAAAGAGCTGATGTGGCAGTATAAGGCATTCATCTTCCTTACCAGTGCACATGATCTGAGAGCTAAAAAAGGAGTAATTTACCTAAATAGGACTAAAACATAATGACTTTCCCAATATAAGACCATATGTTTTTATTTCCCAATGTAGGAGTTTTGGTCATTATTAATTAGTCATTATTCAAGTAAATGTCCATCATTACTGGACATTATTCCTCCACTAAGACATTATTAAGTCCTATTTAGAGAATAAAAAAGTTTAAGTCCTAGATTAGGAAAGTCATTATGTTTTAGTCCTATTTAGTACAAATTTCACCTAAAGAAGATCATTAATTATCTTTAACCACGAAGACGAGAGCATTTATTTCAGATTAACTTTTTCTGTTACATGCTTCACATCTTCACATTTTTTTAGATTAACTTTTTTTTGTTACATGTTTCACATCTTCATACAAGATGCATGTCTTCTGCCGGCTCTATATTTTACTTAAAGATTAATTATACATCAATTCTTTGACCACATGAATTATTTAACAATTTTTAAAAATATAAAGACTATATACCTAGGACCACAAGAAATATTTATGCATATAACTCAATTTTTTTGGTTTTAAAGAATATTCTTCATATATGAACAATAGGAGCAAATTAGGAAAAACTTGGATGCATGGGTGGGCCGTGGGGCAAGGTAACATTTGACCATGACCGTGAAATCGTGCACTCGTGACACTGTGCCGCAAGTTTTTCCCAATAGGCTTTCACCACCTTCACATGACCCATTGCCATGTAATTGCCATCTCTGCCACCCAACCAACCCACTTCTACTGCCCTCCTCCTCATCACCATTCAACAATGGTATTTATACAGCTCCCTTCTGCTCCAGCCAGGGACACAATGAAATGAAAAGAAATGAATCCATGAGAGCGAAATAGAGAAAGTTATAGATTCGCCAGAGACATATAAGACAAAAGGGCAGATGCAGACATAGAGACGACGAAGAAGAAGACGATGTGCTGCTACATAGGGAAAGCCACGAAGATCTTCATCTTCATCGTCACCGTTCTGGTGCTCACCGGCCTCATATTGGGACTCGGCGGCCTTTTCAGGAAACGGAATCGCGACGGAGGAGACCACGCCTCTTGCTCCGGCGAATCCTGTAACCTCACCGCAAGCCCTGCCCCCCCGAATCAAATCAACCCCATTGCTACTTTCCCCGACCCAAACCCTAGTATTTCTCCGCCGAACAACGGCCCGTCGTCATTTGCACCGCCGCCGCCGCCGGATAGCGTAGATCAGAGCCCGGAGAGTCCCAATTCAGCTCCTCCGCCGCCTCAATTGCAGGCTTCCGCACCTCCTCCGCCACCGCCACCGGCCGTCTCGGCAATCCCGCCTGAACTGAGTCCTCCCAGCGCTGCTCTGGTGGCCTCTGGCCCGGCGCATTCTTAGTTACTACTCCGTTTTTTTTCCTTCTTGAGTCGATCCATCGCTTTTAGCAGATTTTTTAATTAATCCACTCTATTGTTCATCATCCCTGTTCCGATTTGGATGAGGTTCCAGAGGATCTGTATTTCTGTAAAGAGAATTTAATAGTCTCAGGATTTTGATTTCGCGATTTACATAGATCGAGCATTGTCTTAATAATAGATTTCAGACTCTGATCCAGTTCCGTTGAAGCAGTTTCCGGCGATGTCGGTGGTAGCGGAAAGATTTCTTCCAATGAGTTTTGACAGTTTCGAATATTATAATGTACCAAAAAATGTAAGGCTTAAAATGGTTAGTTTTAAGCTCATAGGTGTAGATGACGCCTATCACGTCATCCATTCCGAGTGATTCAGTATCACGTCAGTTTTTTCTCTTTTTTAGTTCATTATTGAAAGTGAGTGTTGATCACGCCCATTACCGATAGTGAAAGGTGAGTGTCAAAGATTGTCGGGCAATGGCAGGGCTCGGTGTTACAGGTAGTCGACGGTGAGGGGTAATGGGGACCACCTGCCTGCTAGGTGGTTACCGAAGAGGGCTTGGTGACTACACTGGTGGCCGACGTTTAGCCTTTAGAGATATCAAGTCTTTGAATTGATATATGCTAAATTTGAGATATATCAAACACTTTATCTGAGAGGTTTATTATGTTTAAAACTATACTAAAATGTGAACCCATTTTAGTTTCATCAAACACCTACAGAACTGTTCTGGAATGTGTAATGTATTTTTTTCTCACCGGTGCTTAAACCAAAAGAGTTGAAAGGTGGTGCATTTTTGTTGGAGTAGATTGGCTATTACTCCTTTGGCCTTAATTTGAATCGCATATTTCGATTTACGATATTTGACTAACGTTATTTTCCACATGATTTATTTGAGAACTAGAACAGGATTAGAAAATAAAATTTATACATCAAAAAATTATATCAAAGGTTCTACGAAACAAGAAGTGATATGACTATATTTTATCAGATGAGTAACAAAATCAAGTAATGAAAGTGAATAAAATTTGAGTTTGTGAGTAGTAAATATTAACTTAATTTGGAATGGAGGAGTACTTAGAGAGTGTTTGGGAGTGATTAATTATGGATAAAGTGATTCCCACAAAAGCTGAAAGTAAAAACATCTTACATCTGCTTTTCTAGAACGGTGTTCAATGTATAAAATAGTGGTGATAAAAAGCAGAAGCTGATATGCCAAACATAGTAAAACCACTTCCACTCAAAGCAGAAGCTAAATTATTAAAAGCAGCACACTGTCAAACATCTCTTTGTTTTGTTTGTTAGTTTGTTTTAGTGACACCTGAAAATCTTAAATGACTGAATAATAAATCTTTATTTTCTTTAAACTTTATGTTAAGTCAAATTTTTTAGAGGAAAGGATTATTTGTCTCTTCCTTTGCAAGACATGGAATCAAATCTTTCCCCAATTGTTCTTTCCTTCCCTCTTCTTCTCTTCCTTGAAGAGATTCGCCATTTCAAAACGAGAAGCGGTTACACGTTGATCTAATGACCTATGGGCAGAGAACATTGAAATTCCAGCCCTAAATTTCTGTCCCTATTTACTCATACATACATGACTTTGTGTCCTTAAACCAAATCAAACAAAAATGGATCTCAGGTCTAAAATTACAGTAATTAAGCACTTTGATAGTGAGAAATTTGGTCACACCCACCATTATCATCATTGTTGGAGAAAAGTAATCTCATCTTCTTTGCATTCTCTAATCTCAATCTCCATTACTCTTTCTGATGTTGAAGCTAACACATCGCAGCATTGCCTTCTTGGTGCTAGCAACTGCGCCATATATATATTTCCCAATCACATCATACTTGTTTCGTTTCAAATTTCGTTTCGGTTCTGATGATCAAAATTTATCTAATTTGAATCGAAAACAGACTAAAATACCTGGTTCCGGTCAAGGACCAACTTGTGGGAATGAACCTTGATTTCCTCAAGTTTCCTCGGAGATGCCAAGTCAAATCTGCATTTCTCCTTGGTCATCTTCCGGTATACGGTGGAGACCCGATCACCGGCGGCGGCGGAAGAAGCATTAGTGAAGAAAAAAATGGGCTGCCTCCGGCAGGGGTCAGGGTTGAAATCCCACGTGTCGAAGTCATAAACCATCCCCTTCCCGCCCTTCTTCCACGGCATGTAGCTCTGCTGCACCCGGAGAGCCTCCGGCAGCCGGACGTGGTTCCCGAACACCTGAACCGCGTACCCCCACGACACCGACACCGTCCACGAAAACCACCGGTCGTAGCACACGGTCTGCTGCAAGATCCGGTGCGGGTCCACGGCCGCGGCGGCGTACAGGTGCCGGAGAGATTTGATTATCGTCATGTGTGGGAATATCGAAAACAATACATCCATATGGTGGAGAGAGACCAACGGTCTCACCGGATGCGCCGCCAGCAATCCGAACACGTTCCCTTGAACATCCAACTGATTCAAAACGTACAATATAAGAATATTTCTTTAACTTACGTACAAGTTTGAGTCTTTCGTTGAATAAGAATGAACCTGATGAAATCCGGGCTCGAGAGTTAAAGAAATGCCGAGCTCGGATAAACAGGCATGGATTCTGGCATCACTTCCATAAAGATGTGGGTATCTTTCCAGGCATGAATCCAAAACTCTAGCCAAGACTTTAGCGAGAGGATAGCTTATGGCGAATCCGGCCCCGCCGAATGCCATCCCGTAGGAGAAGAACTTGTTCTGCGCGTGGCTCTCGGAGTTGGCCCCGATGTAGTACCACAACCCGTGGTCGTACTTCGACAGCGTCTTCACCAGGTTCTCTGGGAAGAAGACGGTGTCGTCGTCCCCGAACACGAACCACCTCACGCCCGTGTGGTTCAGGGCCACGGTCTCTGAAACCACGCGGGCCACGCGTATGGCCGAGGGCGTCCCCTTCCCCGTCGCCCCGTACGTGTAGCGGAACCGGGACGTGTCCCCGGAGACGCACACGGGCGGGAGGAGTGCGGTGTCGTTGTCGGAGGCAGAGGTCGCGTTTTCCCGCTCGAGAAAAACGCAACCCCTCATTTCCGCGGGACGCCACCAGAGCTTGACGTACTCCTTGCGCCTCCGCCACGAGTTCGCGTTCGAGGCGATCCCGAACACGACGTGGCGGAGGGAGAGCGGAGGGGGCAGCGGGGCATGGCGTTGGGAGGCGGAGGCGGAGCCACGGAGGAGGAAGGAGAGGGCGGAATCGGGGAGGAGGAGGAAGGAAGAGAGGAGGAATATGGCCAACAAGGAGGAGGAGAGTAGGAAGATGGTCTTGGGGGAATAATAATAATGGTGATGATGGCTTTTCATCAAGTGCATCTTTTTTTGTTGTTATGAATGGTGAACATTTAATCAAGAAGAATGGTGAAAGGGGGGGGAAGAGATGAAGATGCATAGCCAAGCCTTTGGAATTAAGCTAGCGGAATTGTAGCTCAATGGCGTATGTTGGTAGGCTGCTTGGACATTCACATTCCCAATCCAAATCCATCTTTCATTCTCCATCAATTCCATGTTTATTTGTCACTTCTTTTTATTTCATCATTATCTCATTGTGTATTTCCTTTTTTTTTGGCTTTTGGTTTTCCATGTGGGTCTAATAAAATTATAAAAGGGACTTTTGCTAATAAAATGTGCAACATTGTTATTGATTCTCGTAACTAAAAACTTGTTTAATACTCTCCCATACTAAAAACAGGAGAGTTATTGATTTTTGAGAGATTTAAAAGAAGTGTATTTTGGTATTGAATTTCTAAAAAAGTTCTTTGATGTGATGGATAAAAATAGGATTTGATGGTTAGATTATTTGTAAAAAGGCATGATGTAATATGCAGGGTACGGAAATGTAAGGGGTAAAAGTGACTTTTTAATAGAAATAAGAAGTGTTTTTTGGAATGGATGAAAAAAGAAATGAGAAAGGTTTTCAGGGACGGAGAGAGTAGTGCTTTTCAACTTATTCTTATTATTCATTATTTATTTTTACTGAAATTAGATCATACTAAAAATAGTTTCAAGTATAATTCTAACTTTTAAAAATATAAATTTCCCCAAATATTCTCATACTTATAGAAAATAATACATCTACTTGTAATCCAAATATTATACTCCAAAATGTACCAAAAAAACTTATACTTACATTTTATGTCAATGTAAATGTGATATTGATTATTTACATTCACACAAAATGTCAATGTGAAATCTTGCAATGACACTAATATTTTATGTCAATATAAACTATCAAAATGTATGTAAACTTTTGTTGTACAATCTTTGGGGTCACTTAGCATGTTGTTCAGAAAATGACGTAACTTCCCTTTAATTGACTTTTAAGAAAAACGTCATGTCTTCCCTTTTGGGGTAAGCCAAACAAATTAAAGTGGTGTAACCAAATGACACTTGTAGCTCTGGTGTCATTTTAGACCTACTATATAATTTGGTGCCGCTATCTTAGCTTTATTTAACTCTTTCACTAGTAGTATTTTGGTCAAGATTGTTCAAATTTAAATTTTACGCTAATCCTAAATTATACGGAATATACTCGTAAGTGCTTAATTTTGTACTCCATCCGTTCTCAAAAACACTTCATCTTTCATTTTTTCTACTTCCAACAAAACACTTCCTTTTTCAATTAAAAAACCAGCTTTACCCTTACTTTTTCATACCCTACCTAACACATCATACTTTTTCTCTAATAATTTATCCATCACATCTTACTTTTATCCATCACATCAGGGGTAAAATTGGAAATCAACTATAATTTAACACTTCCTTGTTTTTGTCCCAAATCAAAATGGGAAGTCTTTTTGTAAACGGAGGGAGTATTTTTGTTGCTAAAGCCTGAACATTATAAAAAATAAAAAGAATCGTTACATTTATGCAAATTTTCAGTTATCATTTCTGAGTCAAGAAAACCTTTCCTACTTCACCATTAGCTAAGATATGATGACACTGAAAATTAATTTCAACTATCATATATTATCCCTAAAATATCATTGAAAAAAATACATCTAAGTACAGTCTTCAAAAGAATTTAGTTCATGTAAACATGGCCGTCAGTTCATCTCTCCCACATGATCTGATTCGTATATCCATCGATTCATCCCAAGATGACGAAATGTCGCAACACTGTCGTCGTTGCGGAGCTTTCACCTGAAAATTAAACGCATATATACGTCAAAAAACTAACTCAATTCAAAACTCAAACTTATGACTAAGGAGTACAGAAATGTGTTATACTCTGACATCCAGCTTGTTAGAATAAACGTTGACTGTTTGCAAGTGCGCCAGATCAAGATTTCTGAAGCAACGCTTCAAATGCCTTTGTCGGGTGTACCTAGTCCGAACAGCCCCTCCGGGCCCGCCATCCGACTCGACGCGATCCAAGAAGAGGACGAGGGGCCTTCTGCAAGGGTGGGAGGAAACGCGTCGAGTCTTGAACATGAAACGCGGGGTCCGCTTTTCTCTGTTCCAGGGGTGGAAGGTCTGGAGGGGCTGGAGGAGGTCGGGGAGGGGACGGTTTTCCTCGTAAATCTGAACGGTGTAGCCCCACGCGAGGGAGACGGAGAGGGAGCGGTTCGGGTCGTAGCAGACGGTTTGCTGGGAGATTCTTGCCGGGTCGGCTCGGGCGGCGGTGAAGAGGCGGTGGAGAGCTTGGAGGCGGGACATGTTGGGGAAGAGGGGCTGAACTCCATCCAGGTGGTGTAGGGATAATAAAAGGGACTGTGGGTGTGATGTGAGCAAGCCAAACAGGTTTCCCCATAGATCAACCTACAATTGAAAAAAAAAGAATAATTACCACATACAACAACAACGACAACAACAAACGGTTCAATGCCTTAATGGTTCCGGCTCATTGCAGCAAGGCAAGGAAGAGTAGATGTATGCAGTCTCACCTCTATATTTAAAACATAGAAGTGTGACTGCTCCGATCCAGATAACTCATATTGCAACTCAAAAGTTCATTGACTAATTGCTACTCCCTCCGTCCACAAATAAACTTTACGTTCAGTATTCACAGGGTCAAACTTTATTCACTTTGTTGGCCTATTTTTGTCACCCATTTGATAAAATAATATAGTTATGTCACCTCTAGTTTTGTAGAGCTTTTGATATAGTTTTTTAATATGTAATTTTTATTTTCCAATTCTACACCATTTTTCATATAAGTTGATTTGAAAATAACTTCAGTCAAACATCGTAACACGTAATGTAAAGTTTATTTGTGGACGGAGGGAGTACTTTATTATTGAAAGAAGCACAAATAAATTAAGAGTCATTTTATTTTATTTCATTATATCCAAAAGCCCAAAAATAGTGAACATTTATTTCCATCTGAGATTATGAATAAAGAGCAAAAGATAAATTTACGCAAATGAGACCTAAACATATCACTTTTTCCTAAATAGCATTGGTCCTATATACTACTCCGTATAACATTTGGCAATAAAAAATTCTAAAATACACTGTCTTTGAGAAAAAATGATCAATTATACAATTCAAGTAGAATAAGACATTATTAAAAACGATTCTAATAGTCATTGAAAAATAATCAGTCATTATCTAACACTTGTTGCTAATGACTACATTCGTAAATCAGTCAGTATCCAATACTTGTTGCTAATGAGGGCACATAAGACAGATCATATGAAATTATGTGTTATAAAAGGAATAAAACATATTTAAATCTATTTAGATAAACGTAGTACCATTTAGTCTTATATGGGACAAATTTTTCAAAGCAAAACAATTACCTAAATAAAACTACTCCGTAAATGATTAAACAAATATTATATCAAAATAAAAAATCTTCTATGTAAATAGGAACGTTGACATTTCAAAGTATTTTTTTTGAAATTTTTATTGGCATTTTTTGTATTAAGGTCATATTATATTTTAGTATATATAGAGCATGATTAGTCCTAATAATACACTCTCTCCGGCCCCAGAAGATTGTTAATTACCGTATGGAAAAAATATATTTAGTTATAATTTAAATTTAGTAAAATTGGGTTTATTTTAAAATATAGTTTTTGTTAGAATATTGGAATAACAATATTGTTCTTTGAATTATGGAGTACATGATAGAGTATATATATATGAAAGACTCTTGACACCACTAGAAATAGAGAATGGAAACTAATTAAAATATAATTCCTACCATATGTAGAAGTAGGAATCTAACTTATAATAATTAAATAATACCATAACTCATACTACCATAAGTAATACTATTATTATTCTTATTGTCCAACAGTTTTGAAATATTAAATTTTTTATAATATTTAATTATTTTAAACTGTATTTAAGTCATGGTCAAATGATACTATAGTTTGACCAAAAAAGTCAAATTGTGTCAATTTTTCAGGAAAATGGGGAGTATTTCTCTCAAATATTAAACTAGACTAAAACATGTTTCATATATCAAAATATGATGTATTTTAGGGTTAAATATATTTTTAGTCTTTGTAAAATAAGCAACATATTTAATTCATTTTTATACCAAAATAAGATTTTGATGGATGCCTAATATTTTTCCCAGGACTGTTGATCGGTCCAGGTCCAAATATTAGTATCTGGGCCTTATAACAGTGAGAAAATAACAAGAAAAGAGTAATGGACTGTAATCAATTGTACTGCACACAAAATATGAACTCAAACCGGGGCCCTTTCTCTATTCGGTCCACCTTGGGATCAGAATATGCTAAAGGACCGCCGGAATATTTTTATTACTCAAGTCTTTTCTCTCTCTATTACAAGTTATCTCTATTATCTAAATTATTTCCTCCTTTATAGGAGCTCCCCAGCCACCATCTCATTCATATATTCGCGGTGGTTGGGGAAGATATCCGGGCAATTCTCCTATTGCCCCGAAATATCTTTCTCAGCTTAATGCCATCCACTTAAGGACAAATCTGTCCGTCCATCCACTATCCGTTGCCTCATTTGTCTATATGTCCGCCTCCTCAAGGAGACAGCCTCCCCTAATTGTGGGATTCCCTTCCTCTGGGTGACCCGTTCTTGGGCTGAGGTCCAGACCATATCTTAGGTCCCCAACCTTTTTTTCTTTCCCTACCTTGTCTCTTGGACAGCTTCGCTCTGCCGGCCCATTACATTAAATTTGGCCCGGATCTTTCTTATAATTTACGGACCCTAAATTAGGTCAAGGCCCAATTCACTTATACTATCTCGATGGGCTCGGTTCCCATCAGATTTATAATGTCAAATAATATCATAACTATGACAAAAATTATTGTTAAATACAAATACACAATCCCAGATTGTTAGCATTTCACAATAACAACACTTTAAACAAACGGTGACACGATTAAATACAAATACATACAGAGTATGAAAAGTAATTAAAATTAAAAAATAATTTTTTTATAAATATATAATATTTAAAACTATATTAAAAATTTTACAAACCAAAATATGACTAGATTATATTCCCTCCAGTTTGAAAAACACTCCTCTGCAGATCGATATTTTAAATATTTTAGGTATCGTTGAAGCGTTTTGTAAGGTTGAACTATTTTCTGAAAAGAATAAAATATTATGAAAATAGAAAAAGAAAGAAATTAACTATTTAAATAGTGAATATAAAAGTCTTTTATGGATGAATGGAGTTAAGAGATTTATGCATGCATTATTGTTGTTTTAGTAGTTTTCTTAATAGTGAAAGTAATTAAGATTGAATTTATGTTACTATCAAAAATAAGAGATTGAATTTATGTCAAATGAGAAAGTGAAATTGGCACTGAATAAAACTAAAACATAAGTAATTTCTCATTGTAGGACTTAAAATTTTTTATTTCTTAAATAGGATTTAATAAAGACTAGTGAGAAAAATAATGTTGAAATGATGCATTAGCCAATGGAAAACCGTTTGATGTGATTTAATTAAGGATGTACGTATACGCACCTGGTGGAAACCGGGTTCATGCGTTAATCCCACGCCGAGCTCCGCCAGGCAAGAGAAGATCCTGGCGTCGCTGCCGTAGAGTTGCGGGTAACGCACGATGCAAGAATCCACTACTCCTGCCAAGACCTCCGCCAAGCCGCGGCTGAGCGCGAACCCTCCGCCGCCGTATCCCATCTCGAACGAGAAATAAGCATTCTGCTCGTAGCTCTCCGATATCCCCCCCACGTAGTACCACTCCTCGTGGTCGTACGCCGACAACGTGCTCACCACGTTGTCAACGACGAACACCGTGTCGTCGTCCCCGAACACGTACCACCGCACCTCGGACTCGTTCCGCAGTGCTGATGTCACGGCTTTGACCATCCGTGACATCGCCACTGCGGACCGGTCCCCCTTGCTGTTGTTGTAAGGGAACCCGTCCGTGCTCTCGTGGACGAGGACAGGAGGGAGGGTCGGGTCGGTCTCAGTGCCGTTGTTGAGCTGGCGGTCGAGGAAGAGGTACGCCCTCGTCGTGTTCGGCGTGTACCACACGCGCACGTAGTCCTTGCGCTTCTCGAAGGTTTTTGCGGAGGACGCGATGGCGAAAACAATGTGGCTTGCGGCGGTCGCGGTGGCGGTGGGGTTGACGGAGGACGGGCGGTGGAAGACGGAGGAGGGAGGGGTGGCGTGGTAGTTAAGGAGGAAGAGGAAGAGGGAAGTGAAGGTGGCGATGATCCAAAGTTGTTTGAAGAAAAAGATGGTGTTGAAGAAGGTCATTATTCTTGGGGAGAGTAAATTAAATGTGGTATATAGCCAGTCAAAGTATACAGCAATTTCTAATATAGAATAATGGACGAGGGTTCATTCTCTCACTAGAGATTTGATGAATTTGGAACAAAGAATAAATGTTGAAGAGTTACTACTTGTCTAATTAAATTTATTGATATGATATTCAATCCAAAAGTAATGTCATAGTCACCGAAATAAATTCACTAACTTCGCAAAATGATACTCTCCTTCCCACTATTTTTTTTCTAGCCATGACTACATGAGACAATGACGAGGAAATTTTTTTTTAAAAAAACTAAATACTTCTTTCTTCCTTAATTTAATTACAAATAGAGAGTTTCGAGTTAAACTCTCTCGTCTTTTAAAATTGTTTTTCTTTACAAAATGGTACATTAATAATATATAAAAATTATATATTAAAAAACTACGTCTAAAATTCTACGAAATGAGAGACGGAAAAAATATTTTATTTTATCAAGTACTCAATAAAAACAAACAAGTAAAAAAATTTAGCAGGAAAAAAAAGATTATGATATATTTTGGGATGGAAAGAATATCTTTGAGTGAGGTAAAATAAGAATACTGTAAAACATACAAATACAACTAGACTTAATGGCTAATACCTCCGGTGCCCCCTGTAGTTTGGAAAATTGGCACCAATACCCACTCTGTTTTCAAAACTTATTTCTAAAGTCCATGTGGTTTCAAAATGTTGCACCCACACCATCTCTGATCATTTTCCGGCCATTTTCCGGCGAAGAAGGGGCATTAGCGCATAATTTCTAAACCATAAGGGGCACTCGTGCTCATTTCTTATTTTTCGTTTATTATTTGTGTTTTTCCTTCTTTTTCCTTTTCCTAGATTTTTTTCTAAATTTCTTTTCAATTTGTTATAATGTTTTAAAATTTTTTAAAATTCTTTGTGTTTGAACTAATAAAAAATTAACATACATTACATCGATCTCAAATTAAACATTTTCACTTTTTCTTACATAGAATAATTTTTTGGACAATTCAAAAAGAAAACCCAAAATAAAAATATGGAAAAACGAAATGAAAAAATTAAAATACGAAAAAAAGAGTCTTCTACAAAAAACAATTTTGGAACACGCCTAAAAATATCCTTAAAATTGAGATGTCCAAAAAGGATAATCATTTTTATTTTTGTATTATTTTGTTTCTTATTTTATTCATCATTTTTTAGAGTTCTAAAAAATTACCTTTTTCGGAAAAAACAAAAATTGTTAATTTGAGACGTGCCGATGCATTATATGTTAATTTTTTCAAACAAAAATAACTTTAAATTTTAAGAACATTATAAAAGTAATTGTAAAATAACCTTTATTAATAAATGAAACAAATAAAGGAAAAAAATGGGGAAAAAAGAGAGAAATAAAAAATCACCACTGGTACTCCCATGGTTTAGAAAATATGCATGAATGTCCCCCTTCTTTGCCGGAAAAATGACCGGAAAATGATCAGAGGGGGCACGTGTGCAGCGTTTTGAAACCACAAGGACTTTAGAAATAAGTTTTGAAAACAGAGGGTATTGTTGCCTATTTTGCAAACCACAGGAGGTACTGACACTATTTGGCCAATACGACTATATATAGAAGGGCAAGGTTCCCATGATATTGGGAGTTCCCAATGTCATGGGATGACCCGGGGACGCTCCGGTACCCCATTCGTAAAATTTACGGTTCCTACCCCCTAACCCCCCGATAAACCCCCCACCCCGCCCCGACCCGAACACACCCGCAACCACCTTTAATTGCACCCCACAAGTTGATTTTGACTTTGGAGTCAAAATTTGATTCCAAAGTCAAAATCAACTTGTGGGGTGCAATTGAAGGGGGTGGGGGGGTTTACCGGGGGATTTAGGGGAATATGAATCGTCAATTTTACGAACGTGGCACCAGAATGTCCCCGGGTTATCTCATTACATTGGTTCCCACTAAAATAATACTCCCTTCGTCACGGAAAACTTTTCTCTTTTCTTTTTTCATCCGTCCCAAAAAACACTTCTCATTTCTATTAAAAAGTCACTTTTATCCCTTACTTTTTTCATACCCTACCTATCACATCATACCTTTTTACCAATAATCTATACATCAAATCATACTTTTACCCATCACATCAAAGGACATTTTTGAAAATTTAATACCAAAATACGCCCCCCTTAAATCGTTCTTTAAAATCAAAACTCACATGTTTTCCGGGAGGGAGAAGGTAAAACAGAAAAGAAAGACAATATTCCATATGAAACAAAAACAATGAGACAAATAAAATACACTTTGTAACTTTAAAAGAAAACTAAATTGTTTGAACAATAAACATAATCTTATACTCCGTATAGAAAATAAGAGTAATATTTATATATTTATCAAAACTTAAATTAGTTTTAAATTAAAAAAAATTCAAGACCAATCCAAATTCCGGTCAATGGTCCTTCTCCATCTCCATGTTGTCCGAGTCACAATGTCACATTACAACTTGTACCAAAACTAATACAGAGTAATATAATTATGACTCCTAGTATATTATGTGGTTTATGATGTTTGAATGAAAATATTTTTAATTAAATATATTTTAATATTATGTAATATTTTTCTTAAACAAAATTACATGAAATAAATTACATCAAAAATTTTATAAATTAAAACAATGACTATATTATTTACTCAAATGAGTACAACAAGAACAACAACAACAACCCAGTTGAATCCCACTACAGTAGGGTCTGGGGAGGGTGTGTGTACGCAGACCTTGCCCCTATTTGAAAGTAGGGAGGCTGTTTCCAAGAGACCCCCGGCTCAACCTGCATAAAAAATATGGTAGAGAACACAATATAACAGGATAACAAGATATAACAGGATATAACAGGATAAAGCACCAAGTACAATGAAATGAAAGTCCAGCAAGCAAAAGTAGAAGATACCAAACAAACACAACACACTACAAAAACCTCTACAGCACCGAGCTCCTAACCAGCTACTCTAATCCTAGTCCTCCAAAGGTTCCTATCTAAGGCCATATCCTCAGTCAGGGTGAGAAGTCCTAAATCCTGCCTAATCACCTCCTTCCAATTCCTCCTAGGTCTACCCNTCTTCTTAACCGCCCAACATTCTGCCCCGTATAACATAGCAGGTCTGACTACGGATCGGTAGAACTTACCTTTCATCCTGAGAGAAATCTTCGGGTCACACAACACCCTTGAGGCCAACCGCCATTTGGCCCAAGCCACTCCAACACGATGTAAATTAATAAACAAAGTAAAAAAAAGTTTGATCATGTAAATTGTAAATTCAAATACTCCGTAATAAAGAATATATATTCCCTTTGTCAGTCACAGATCTTCTCAGCTACTATTTAAAAGATCAAACTTAACTCACTTTATTTGCTTATTTATACGGAGTACTACTCATTTCACAAAATAATACACCATATAGTCTAATCATATATAGTTCGATGGAACTTTTCATTTATTTTTTACTATACATATAAATTTTATTTTTAATTTTTTTCACTACAATCAAATAAATGGAATTAAAACAAACCTCTTAACACGTAATGAAAAAATCATTGGTGGACAAGGGAATATTTTGTTGCATTTAAACTTTTCTCGACTTGTAGTCGGTGTAGGTAGGACTAACGGTGTATTTTTTTGAACCAAATATAGTGTTGGTGTACGGCTTGATTTGTCCAAGTCGTGTGCAAGTAGCATTTTTTATTTTTTGGTCGATGTTCTCTTCAAGTTATTTGTTACTTAATACTTTTATTATTGAAATCAGACCAGACAACGACATCCGATCAAATCAGAACATTATTTGAATGAGAGGATAACTTTATGGGTAAAGCTATTTGTACCTCATTTTGTAAACCGCAGGAATGCATAACATTTTGTGTTGGTGCAATGTTAATTTTTGTTAACGCACCAATACTTTGTATCAGTGTAAATTTTTGTTAATGCACCAATACTTTGTGTCAGTGTAAACAATTAAAATGTTGTATGCAAATTTTGGGGCAAGTGTTGTGGGTTCTAGTGAATTTCGAAAGTCTTATTTGCGAGAATTGGGTTTCAATCTGGCATGGCAGATTCCCTCAAAGACATTTTCACTCAGCTCATCAAGCGATTCCGCAGATTTCTATCCGTCAAGGTCTCCGATGTCTTTATATCTTCCTTCACTTGTTCTTTAAACCAAATTAAGATTGATTAATTTATTTCCTATTTGTTGATGAAAAAACTTGTTTTCCCTCATTTTATTGTGATTTTTTCATCCTGTATTTCTAGGTAGTTTTTACTCAGATGTTCATGGACTGCATGTTAGGATCATTAGATAGATGATTACATTCCCTTACAGGGTGGAAATGAATCTGAGTTTCTGACAAGTTTAGGTTCTTATGCAGTTATGTTCAGTGTTAATTTTGCAAAATTATTTATAAGATTCGATTCTGCAGATACTGCTGTCTCCCCTCTGATTAAAATCTTTTACCCCTAATTTCTCACTCCCTCGTTCTCTGCCCACGTTCTTAGGATGGTATGATCATCAAATAAATCTGCTTAAAAGAAAGAACTTTAGAGTTCATATTGTGTTGAAGTTATTAGAAATCTAGCTCCTCTTTGATGTATTTAGCTCTTAGAATTTGGGAGTCCGTTTCTTATAACATCGATTGAGGCTTTCCGTGTACATCTAAACTCTGAGAATCTTTACTTGTTTGTTTTTATCTGATTCCACGGAAGGAAATCATTTATTAATCTATATTCGTTCATCTTATCTTAATTTGTGTTTGTAGTTTATTGGATGTAATGCAGGTATGAGATACGAATGCTTTTATGTTTCCTTCAATATTTTGTGTCTTTGTGTGTGGTGATGTTCTTAACCTGTTGAGAAACATAAACGTGACCATGAAATCCTTTTGATGGTGAAATTGCCTATCTTACTAACTAAAAATCTACCCACTAAATTTAGGATTCTAGATCGTTTGGAGCATTTGCGGGTCTTGCCTTTGCAGTATTGTTTGCGTGGACACTATTGAGAAAGTCTAGTTGCAATCAGAGAAGACGGCTTAAGCCGCCAACTGGTGGACCAAGTAGTTCAAGTTCTAGAACTAATAGAAGCTCAAATGCTGCAGCAATAGAAACATCAACAACAACAACTGCATGTAGCCCTTTGCCAATTGATTCAAGAGCACAACATGTTTCTGATAATGTCTCTCAGCGCATAACAGTTGAGTGACATAAATTTTCTTCATGCTAAAAGAATATTCTTTCAACCTGTTTAAAGTATATTAATCAAATCAATCTTATTACCCATGTGCAGCCAATGCCAATGCTAGGGAAGATAGTTAAGCAAAGGTTGAATGGAGGGAGGAAGGTCAATCTCCATAATCTTTCCGTTCTTTGTTCCATGCACAATGTGGCCTAGTTTGGACTTTGGATAAGGGACTTAGATAAGTACTTCTCAATAAGCTCATTTCAAAAGCATATGCAAACATAGTACATTATGTTTACTCACATAAGTACACACAACATTAGATAATAATAGCTCATTTCATAAGTATATATTGACACTTTGGGACATTTTGGAGACACATTGGGTTGTCCAGTGTGGCTATATGGAGGCTAAGCCAGCTGCGCTGCAATAACCATAGCTACGCTACAATAAACAATGCATAAATATACTTCAACGACAAATAAATAATCATGTTTGCAATTTGTGGAATACTTGGCTAAAACAAATAACCTTGCAATTTGTGGAATACTGTGCTTCATAGGTGTAGATCTATCCGCCCCCCTCTGCCATTGGGTGGTATACCATTAATTGTATTTTTTTAAGCAGGTAACCTGTCAGCTACTTGGTGTGATCCTAGAGGAAACTACCCGAGGAGCTCCAGGTTATTGTTGTTTTTGCTTTCTGACTGCATGGAGTAGCCTTCAGTTACAGCTATTAAGCATGGGTTCAGAAAAATGCATATTTGTTTCTAGGAAAAAGCAACTGTAAGATCATCTGTGCCAAGAGTGTTGCGCGAAATCACAAAACGATGCGATCTTTATCTCATGGAGAGAGTTTTGGACGATGAAAGTGAAGTAAGTACTCGCTCTGCAAGAACAATCCAATTAGGGATGTTTAGTAATCTAATGAAAAAAGGAAATCATGCTTATGGACCCTATTATTTATACCATTTGCCTTTTAGATCCATCCTACTTGCCAAAATCTACCTACTCATTTGCCTCACAAGGTGTTGTGTGCAGGAAAAGGTCCTTCGTGTTTTAGAAGATGCTGGACTATTTACATCCAGTGGCTTGGTGAAGGACAAGGTATTAGCACTTCTGACCCCATTTGGTGAGGCTAAAGTGGCTGAATGGTTGAAGTTGTGGCTAATTAGTTAAATCTATCACATTATTATTTGAAAAAGGGAAAAAGGGACTCATTTACTACGTTCTCCATCTTCAATATTTCAAAATCAGCTCATCTTACCTTTCCCTATTTAATAGCTAATTGCCTTGTTCTTCGGTTCATTGAAAATTCCCCTCAAGTGTTTGGCCACATTACCATAATAAGTCCAGAGATTATCGACAAAGTCTTTTATTTTATGACTGTTTGCACAGGTTCTCTTTTGTAGCACCGAAAATGGACGGACATCTTTTGTTAGGCAACTGGACCCTGATTGGCATATCGACACAAATCCAGAGATCGTAACTCAATTAGTGGTAAGTTGTTTTCATTACCAAAACATTACAAGTGTAATTATCAACTTGATAGTCGGTGTTAATGCAATCTTTTGTTTTAATCCACTAATGGTTGCAGAGATTTATCAAAAACCAGCTTCACATTTCGCCAACCAAAGCAGGGGGACTGGCCACAAACGTTTACAGTGCAACTTCCTTGGAGCAGTTCTTTGGATGTGCTTAAAAATGACATCTTTAGATGCATCATGTGATTTGTTCTGTTTTTCTTAGGTTTTAAGGATGCATATATCAGTCTAAAGACCAAAGACCCATGTACTTAGAGCAAGGTAAGTAACTCTTTCTGGTTTAATGACTGCTCTATGCAATTCAAAACATCTTGAACGTTGAAAGTATTCAATGGGTAATTCAGTCATTTGTTAGAAAAAACCAAAATAACTAAAATACATTTTCTGTCAAAAAAAAAAACCCATGGGTAACCCAAGGATTTACAATTAAAAGCATCTCAAGAAAACAATGAAAACTTTTGAGTTAATTTACACCCTCAATGGTTTCTTCAAGACATTTGGGGCATTTACATCTGAAGCCATAATCTGCAAGTAATTCCTGTCTCTCCTCAATGGGAAGGTCCTCATCTATGTATGATATAGTAATCTGTAAATGCAGAGAAAGCACTATTATTTATGGCCAATGCTGTTATATGCTCACACATAAAAACAATGCTTTTCTCCCACAATGACCATACCAACAAACATGAGCGAATTAAATCATCAAAAAATTACCTCTTCTCCCTTTTGTATCGGTTCGAGTGCAATTATTATTGCGTCACCATCCAAATCCTTGCCATAAAATAAGAAAAATAAATTAGTCGCAGTATGCTATATGTCTCTTGAAATTTTAAGATCTTGAAAACTCACAAGTAGAAATACATGTGGTGAAAACCGAAAATAATGGCATGAGCTAGAGGCACAAAGAACATCATCATGACAAATGATATTAAAACTTGAATGGCATAAACGAGCGTTCTTAACACACCTCTTCTCGTTTGAAAGCTTTCGCATTTGGTTTACACGAATGGTTCATACAACTCTGCAATGGGAAGAAAGCAGTGCCTAACACCAAAAAGTTAAAAGATTATCTTTTAAACTTTCCTAAACACGAATTCTACAATAAAGGCAAATTAGATCTCCTGATTCGAAAGTTGAAACAACATTACCTTGACAGCAAGTTGAATATTCATCACCGTGAGCATCCAGAATAGGCCGTATAATCTGCTCGGCTTCTCTCTGCAAAACACGACTCGAGTGATCCCAGTTATCTATGGGGGCACTCATAATTATTTTATGTACCAAATGCTGACCTTTTCTAAGCTTGGAAGATCGTCAATGTGCTTAAAATAGTTTACTAGAGGCGACTCCACAATCAAATCACTGTCGCAGCCATAAGGCATCATGCGATAGAGAGCAAAAAGGAAGTTAACGTAAAGAACATCTTAATTCTAACCGGTTCACCGGTTATATATGAATGTCGTGTTTACGCTTCAAAACAAACAAAAGGGTTAGAGGGGTGGGGGTGGGGTGGGGGTGGGGAGAAGAAGAAGCACCATTCTTCTCCAACACCAGAAAAGTTTCACCTTTCTGTACATTTGAACATTCAGGACTCATAGTCTATCTTTGGAAGTGAATTCACAGTGAAAAACTTACAGATTATTCAGTTCGAACATTCCAATAATATGGCCATAAATTTCAAGAGAAAATACTGTGAATTGTCAAGGTCTCGAGGACATTCATTTCTCTGAAGTGATAAAACCAAATAGAAGAGAAGATTTGCGTATTCATTAAGAACTACTCCCTCCGTCCCAAAAAAAAACATTAGCCTTTTGAATTTCATGGAATTTGCGAGAAGAATGGAAACGTTTTTAGCGAATGGTTAGAAATTGTTTAGATGAGACAAAAACCTTGTGAGGTGGATATTCATTACTAAAAAAAGGAAATAAAGTGGAAATTGTTTTCGGGACGTCCAAAAAGGGAAAGAGGGTAAAGTTTTTTTGGGACGGAGGGAGTAAGAAGAAGGATACATGCCTCACATTCATGGTCAAAGATGGCTGCCTTCAGGAGTTGCAGGGACTGAACCATAAATAATGACTAAACTTCAGTATCAAATAAATAAATAAACATATTTGAACAGTAAAATACCAAAATACCCCCAATAACAAACTAGAGAGTACTTAATGATCCGAAATCTGAATGATTTACCTCATCAGCGAGCTCCTTAATCAGCATTCTAAATGCAGCTTCATCACTATGCTCAATATCATTAGGCAAATCAACACAGCCCCACCAGCTGAAAATTAATTTGGAAATCCATCCAAAAAAAATCAGATGACTAAACCAATAGATCGTTATGATAATCTCAATACTTTATTCATAACACCAAATAGAGTACCATTTCTTATGCCCCATTGATACAGGCTTCCAAGCTTCCAACAGAAGAGAAAAAGCACTCTTTACTGAAGTATCATATTTTCCTTTTCCAGAAATCCAGTCTGCTTTGAACTTCCTGTACCTCAAGATGGTGAAAGAAATAACCTGAAGCACAATCCACAAGATTACGTTCATACTTTATACATTATATTTTCCAATTATACCTATAATGTATCAATAGGAGCATGCCATTTAGGATTGGGCAACAGCACCTCATTCATCTAAATCACAAATAAATAAATGCCTACTGTCCTTGGTGATGAAAATATTTTTTTACGGAGGTTAATAACTGCTTAAAAAATAAAAAAATTGTAATTCAATGAGTACCTTGGCAGCAGGGAGAAAAATATCATTTGTTTCTGAAATTTATAAAAAAAATATGAGAGAGAACAATATATAACTTCATATATTTCAAAAGCATACCTCACAAAGAGTTTAACATTAGAAGAAAACCAAAAGACTCCATGACAGATAGTTTAGTGACATTTGTGTACTAGACCACAACAATACCATTAGCATGTTCTATGAATTTCAAAAGAGCCTCAGTGCTTAATGCTTTTGAGCCCTTTCCAGTACAGAGCAAAGAATGGAACTCCTCCCAATCAGCATGGGCACAAGCTGGGCTGCAAAAGTGTTGAAATGTGATTTAAAAAAATTATTGATGCTCAACTCAAATAGCATTTTCAAATTATGCTCAATTTGAATGATGAAATGGATCCTTGAAGTGGTTGGAGCAGTGAAACTATTATGAAATGAAAATGTTAACCTGCAATAATAGCTTTCTTCGCATGCTCCTGGACATGGAACAATTGAGGGCAACGGAAAATGTTCCGAATATGGTAGAAGAGTGTCACCATTCATTAATGAATGAAGCAGATCCTTTGGGATGCTTACTTTGGGTCTGGAACTGCTGGACGAACATCCACCATTCTCCTGCAATTCTTTACCAGAAGAACCTGCTTCATCAGAATGAGGGGAGTTGCAAAAATCTCTTTTTGTGTGTGAAAGCTCTTTCCCTTCACAATCATCTGTGGGAATACCAAAATCTAGCCAAAAAAGCTGCCTTCCTATTTGATGTTCAATAGAGCCAATAAACCGGAAGCAGTAACTACATACAAGACAGTTCATCTGCGAAACAAGGGCGAACATGAGAACAAAAACCCCATTATACTCCCAACTCCGGGGTCAATATGTATGCGACCTTACCCCTCTAAATAATAGAGAAGTTGTTTCCGTTAGACCCGGAACTTCATTAAAGTAAGAGGCATGGGAAGCTTAATATAAGCCATTTTAATTTAGCACATTATTTACTCAAAGCTACAACATTATCAAAAATGACTCTTTTGACTCCATTCACTCCATTGGCAATGGACAAAACAAACATGTGAAGCCCGGGGTAAAAAAACGGTTCTTTAGGGAAGATACTAAATTTCACAACCTTATTTGAAGTATGTTGTGCACCAACAAGCATTTTATCTTTCAAAACAAGTTCCCCTTCCTTGAAGTTCTTTTCAGCAAACACTCCTGCAATAGAACAGTTCATCCAGGCAATGCATTTCTATGTCACCAAAAATGAAATCAACTAAGGCCCCGTTTGGTACACGGAATTCAAACTATGGAATTGGAATTGAGGACATCAATTCCAATTCTGGTGTTTGGTAGCACAAAAATTATGTGGATATGGAATTGATAGTGCAAAAAATGAATTGGAATTGGCAGGATTCAATTCTATGGAATTGAATCCCATGGAATTTCAATTCCAATTCAATTCCAATTCCATTAATTAAGTATACCAAAGGGACCCTAAACAAAAATAAATAAATTCATAAACTGAAAGTACGGATTTGAATTAAAAAAAAGAACCCAATAAAAAAAACACACAATTCAAGAACATAAAAGAGAGAAGAGGGAAAACAGAAAGAAAAAGAATTACCCTTTCCGTACTCGCCATTGAGCTTTACTTTGAGCCCATCGCACCGCCTGGATGATGTAAGGTCTTCAAAATATTTCTGAGAGAAATTCAAGAAAGATAAATAGTATTCGGTGACAATGTAGATGGAAGGAATAGAGATGGTAAAGGCAGTCGGTACCTCAACTTCGGGGGTTGGAGGAGGGCTGAGAAGTGCAGCAATTTGATCGGAAAAGAGACCGTCGATTGGGTAAATGGCTTCCATTCCCGTGCAACCGGCGTCAGAGAGCTTCTTCTGCAGTTTTACCCGACTTGTGCCGCCGTGAAGGAGTCTATCACCACTAGAGATGATGACCGCAGCCGGGTCGGGTCCGGAGCAGGCACCGAAAATTAGTATTGATTTGATTCTACTTCCTGAAAGCCCGGTATCATCGATCCAACCCAATTTAAAACTTTAAAATAATACTCCGCATTTTAATAGCAAAAATATACCCGGAGTATGAATTTCCTTTATAAAATATGAGGTGATTAAATTGTATTATTTTATGACATAACATATGCTCTCTCTATCTCAGTCTATATTATATTTTTAATGTCATGGGATGACCCGTGAGTGCTCCGGTGCCCTATTCGTAAAATTGACGATTTCTACTCCTAACCCCCCGTAAACCCCCATCCCGCCCCGACCCAAACACGCCCCCAACCCCCTTCAATTGCACTCCTAAATTAATTTTGACTTTGGAGTCAATTTTGGAATAGTGTAAGAGTAGTTGTGATTTTATTATAGAATTTTTTGTGGCATTTACCTCTGAACTTTTCGAAAAATTGTACCAATGCCTCTTGAGCATTTAAAAGTATTATACCAATAGTCACTTTGTGCCAGATTTGAGAGTACGTTAATCATACACTCAACCAGTGTAAGAACGGTTTCAGCTTAAGTCATATACCACACACGAGTAATGTAATATGTTCTTCCCTAACATTATTTTATACTCCCTCCGTCCCAGAAAACCATTCTCCTTTCTTTTTTCATCCGTCCCAAAAAACACTTCTCATTTCTATTAAAAAATCACTTTTACCCCTTACCTTTTCATATCCTACCTATCACATCATATTTTTTTACTAATAATCTATCCATCAAATCATACTTTTACCCATCACATCAAAGGACATTTTTGGAAATTCAATACCAAAATACACTTCCCTTAAATCCCTATCCAAAACCAAAATTCTCATGTTTTTCGGGACGGAGGGAGTATATTTTAGCCTCTTTATACCTTAAGTAAATATTCTCGATTTAGCATAGATAATCAAATTTGAAGGTCAGACATCAGCGATAAAGCTCGTCATCAGTCAATCAATCTCTTCATCAATCCATGACATTTTATCAAGTTTCAAGACGTATATTAATGAGTGTGTGATTAACGCACTCCTAAATTCCACACAGAGGGACTGTTGTAACATATTTTAAAGTTCAGGAGCATTGATGTAATTTTTAAAGTTTACGAGAAATCCATGCAATTTTCAAAAAGTTCAAGGGTAGATAGTGCAAAAAACTCGATTATTATACCATCTGCTTATACAATAAACCCTTAGAGGTGATTAGTTATGATATCAGATTTCCCGTCCTTACTGAGGAAATGCCCTTAGATAACAATGTTTGAAAAACTAGGATTAAGGTAGTTTGATAAAAACGTTTGTATGTGCGGTCCTCTTGTGTTGTCATGTTTTTGTTTTGTTTAATTAGTTTGCTATTGGCCTAGGTGTGTTTTTTGCTATCTCAGATATATATGACATGTGTGATCTTATTTTATTTATGTTATTTGAGTTGTAGGCCTTTTGAAAACAGTCTCCCCACTCTTATCTAGGGACAATTGGACAAAGCCCGCATACAGGGCATGCATCATCCCCAAATCATACTATTGTGGGATCCAACTAGATTGTTGTTGTTGTATGAAATAAAAACTTAACAAGTTTATTTGGTTTCAAAACACTCAAAAAAATTTAGCCAAATATTTTAATAATCTACTTCCATAGAGTTTAATAATTAATGTCTAGAATTTATAATTAAAATTTTGAATCTTGAACTTAAAGTGACATAACATATGCTCTCTCTTATATTTTTTTATTTGACTTTTTCAAGCCAAATTTTTCAAATTTTGAGCTTCAATTTGAAAAAAAAATTATAATTTATATTAGACCTAGCAAAACGGTCAGTCAGGTCGGGTTCGGTGATATCAGGTTTGGGTTATTTCGGGTTCGGGTCACTTTGGATTTGGGTCTTAGAGTGCTTGTTCATGACCCAGAGTTATCGGGTTCGGGTTGACCCAACGGGTTAATAGGCGTATTTAAAAATTTAAATTTTTGCTATTTAGAGATCAAGTGATCCCCGCATTATTTAAAACAAAGAACGAAATCATAAAAGTTTCCAGTTCTATCTGCAACATATCAAAAGAAAATTGCAATATACCCAAAAAATCAGGTTTTTGCAGCATACCAAAAAAAAATGCAGTAGATGAAAAAATTGAAGATTTATATATATATATATATTACAAAAAATTGAGATTCTTGCAACATAGCAAAGCAAAAAATTTGCAAAAGATGAAAAGTCAGATTCATATTTATATTTTTTACATGGTACTGTCATTACATTTTTTATAGAATGTACCACAACATGTACCGTCATTACATAATTGCAGCATACAAAAAATGCGATATACCAAAAAAATTTAGAATATACCAAAAAAATTTAGATGAAAAGAATTAAAACTTGAGTTACTTGTAGGAGCAATTGAAGAAAATGAAATAGAATTAAATATTCTACTATTGTTCTTGTGTCTTTTCACCATTTTGATTGAGTCAACACCTTATATCGACAGATGGTGAAAGAGTGGAAGAACGAGAGAGAGAGAGAGGAGACAGAGGGGAGAGAGAGACTAGAATGTTACTCCCTCCGTCCTATTATTAACTTCCCGGTTTGACCTTTTTAAGGAAGTGTTAAAATTGGGTTGACTTTCCCAAAATGCCCTCCATCTAACCTTTTTGCTTTCCAATAATTGGGCTTCATTTACCAGCTGCCATACGCAAATAACAACGAATACCTCACCAGAGCTCATCCACCACCGCTGAAGCTTGGATGAACGGCATCGGATATGTGCATTTACTTTGAGGGAGCCTGATTTCAGATCAGACATAGGGACCTCATTGGACCTCATCGATTCTCATTGAAGCTCAGTAATTGTTTAAAATTGTCGGAGCTCATCAATCCAAGCCAACAGTGAATCCAATAGCTAAAAACAAAATTCTGATATGAAGTTCAGAAAAATTCTCTGCTTTTCTCACCGATTGAACAAAATGAATGAATAAATTTAAATACCCTTTACAATCCCTAAGAACAACAACCAAAAAGACAACCCAAACTCAATAATTGTCCACCGCCGCATCAGCCACGCCGGGAGTGTCAGAAGCTGTATTGCCATACATCGCCTGAATCCATGGCCGAGATTCAAGCTTCAACTGTCATACAGTAGCCGCGCCCCTCCTGTGCATCATATTGTCACCGAGTTTGCTAGAAGCCCAAATCAAGAAGGCTTATCCATTGAGAGGAAAGAGTAGTGTGTGGCTTTAGGTAGATGAGAGATGCACATTAAAATATGAATGGGCAATTGTGTCTTTTAATGTGTTTTTACTTTCCATTTAAGGAAACGAGAAGTTAATTTTATGACGGCCTAAAAAGGAAACCGAGAAGTTAATTTTAGGACGGAGGGAGTATTGAATTTATTAGCTTAAGTTTTACACCTTTTGAGTTTTGAGTAGCATTATGAGTATATCATATTTTAAATTAATATATAAAACTAAATAATTAATAAAAGTAAACAATTAAGGGTATAACCCATCTTGTCAAACCCGACCCGACCTGTTCTGATCCAAAAATTTAACGGGTCTTCGGGTTCGAGTCATTTCAGGTTCGGATCACAAAATCGATGTTCAAAACCCGCTAATTTCAGATCGGGTTTCGGATTAATAACGGGTCGGGTCAAATTTTGCCGGGTCTAATTTATATAATTATAAAAATAATTTTATTAGATTTATCATGTTAAAAAATATTTAAAATTTTATTTTATTCTACTACTTCCTCCGTCCTAAAACTATCTTCCCGTTGCGCAAAACGAAGAAAAATCCCAAGTTTTTTCAATCTATTTTATTTAAATATTGGTATAGAAATAAAAAATAAAACATACATATTTAAAAACTACATCAAAAGTTCAACAAAACAAGTGGTGATAAGAATATTTTATTTTATCATATAGGCCATGAAAAAACACAAATAAATATAAATTCCTGTGAAGTTGGAATAGTGCTCTGGGAAAAAAGTTTTAGGACAGAGGGAGTAATATATAATACAAATTGAGAATAATTTAAAGAAGACAAACCCTTTTATTTTTTGAAAAATGTGAAGTAGACAAACATATTAGAACGAGATAGTAAAATTGATTAGACCACCCTTTTTTTTTTGAATACGTAGTAATATAATGTAGATTGTAGTGCACAACTTTATGAACATGAATTCCATTACAATTTCAATTAGTACAAAACAAAGCTGTGGCGCAAGAATTGACAACCGAACAAATAACTCCACACGTGCAGGTCACATGCACCACACAGCTAATACAAATTAATACGAACCATACAATATTTCTTAAAGAAAAACAAACAAACCAATGTATAGACGAAATAATAATAATATTTCAACTGTTCGTGACCGCACAGTTCCCCCGAATTTCCCCTTGTGTCCCTGTCATCACATTAATCCTCCCCATCTTCTCCATGGACATGGCGAACTGAGCTTCGAAGCTCTGCAGGGACCCACTCGCGAGGGCATTGACCAGGGCCAGCGTGGCGTTGCTCGTCAGCAACGCCGCGTCGGACTGGAACAGCCCCCTCCTCTTGAGGACTTGGGCGTAGTACCCGAGATCGAATGTCCGGAAGCTCCCCGGGTCCATCTCCACCCTCGTCGTGTTGTCGTTCGCCGACCGGCACTTCTTGCTCCTCAGGTTGGCCGCGTACTCGCTGTCCAATGCCGGGTCCTGGGACCCGTTCGTCCCGTTGAAGTTGTAAAGGCGGGCCGAGAACGACGAGCAGTGCGATAAGCCGATCGTGTGTGCCCCTAATCATCAAATTTAACAAATCAAATTCATTATGGTTCATTCATTCTCATCTGTAGCATTTCTTGTATTAAATTATTAATTTTTTCAGTTTTTTTATGTTACTTTATTTAAATGATTCTTCAAAAATAAAACCCGTTTTGTTACATTTTAAAGTGTAAAGGAGATTGGTAGTAGGGGGTTCCGTTATTTTGATTTGGTCACGCGATTTTGTACCTCAATTTCATAAAATATCAAAATGGCCATGAGACAAATAGTCAATCAATTTTTATATGATTTGAATTTCGGAACCCACAATGAGATATATCACGTTGATTTCGCCACTTGATTAATATATATAACGGTCTTAATGTGTTAAGTGGTAGTAGTTGATATGTCAAAACTCAAAATTGATTAAAGATGGAAAAAAACATTTTGAATATATATATTTGTCCTCATCCACATCATAACATGAGAAGTGAAATATATATAAACACCCAAATTGTTTATTTAAAAATCGGTATAAAAAGTTTATATAGGTCTTAAAAACAGCATAAAAAAATAATGAAACTAGACAAAAATAAGTTATTAAAATTTAATTATATATATATAAATAGTGAACAATAACAATTAAATAAGAGGGGTATAACCAAACATATTAGGAACACTTTGTTTCACAAAGTGAAAAACCTTTCTAAAATTTTGAAGAGATCAACATGAGAGCATTGGCAACGGCGTCGCTTTTCCATTGCCGTGCCTGCCACCTCAGCTCAAATTTACTATTGAGCTCGCGTGTCACTTGTGATTCTCCATGCCAAGCATGGCAGGCGTGAGACACTTCTTCCTTTATTTTTTATTTTGTTTTTAATTGTTTTTGTAGAAGAAAGAATGAAGATTTTTTAAAAAGAGTACATTTATTTTTATTAAAAAATTAATAAAATAATTTTTAATAATTAAAATACATTAAAAAAGTGTCAAAAGTGATAAAAATAATGACTACATAGTACTTCACTTACTTGTCGCAAGTTGATTGAATTATTTTTTATTGAAATAGGTCACATTGTAATTCTAGCCCATTTCTTGAGTTGCCAATCTTGCCATTGTTATTTATTGAATACTAATGCCCATGACATTGGGAACCAATGTCATGGGATGACCCGGGGGTGCTCCGGTACCCTGTTCGTAAAATTGACGGTTCCTACCCCCCTAATACCCCTGGTAAACCCCTCACCTTGCCCCGACCCGAACACACCCCCACCCCCTCCAATTGCATACTAATGAATCCTAATCTTAGCTATCTCAAGGCTCCGGAAGCGGAACGTACTTCACGCAAAATCAAACTTGAGTGGAACCCATAAAACAACACAAATGCGTAATGGCCCATGCTAGAAATTCATCCCGATTATCTCCATGAATAACAATAACAGATGATTTATACATACACATATATACGATAATCATTTATGGAAACAAATGATAGATAATGATTTTTGACACGATTATCATTTATGTATGTATAAAATCATCTGTGATTGTCACGAATAAGGTATGTGGTGGGTTTTAGCACTATTATTATTCATGCCTAATGCGGAGAAAAAGTTTGCATCTCAAACCTATATGTTACACCAACCTTGCACGTGGAGGGCCAAGGCCTCTATTGCCCATCCACTACTCCGAAAAAATTAAAATCAAACTCCCTAATTTCCCCAATGTTTTCACTATAGAGAAATGAATCAAATAAGGTTAAGCAAAATAGGAGTATGTACGTACCAGATAGGAGGACGAGGTCGGTAAGGTTAAGACCCTGGTTGGCAAAGAGTGTCCGGAGGTTAGTGAAGTTGCTGGTGGGGGCCGGGATGTTGTTCGTCGCCTCCGATGCGTTCGAAAACAATCCGTCCCGCCGACCCGTCGGGACATTCCATGACGGCCCTCCCTGCAATCGCGCCCCCATCATAAAAAACGTCAATATATATATATATATATATATATATATATATATATATATATATATATATATATATATATATATATATATGAAATAGGACCATGCTATGATGCCACCACATGGATACACACATGCTTCACACAGACAAACACAGACGATATTTTTTTGTGCGACACAGACAATTATCGTCTGTATTTTTCTGTGTGAAGCATGAGTACACCCATGATAGCACCCATGTAATGACACCTTTATTAAGACATCAATCAATCAATCAATCCTAGCTATATGATCTGAACACCAGAGCATATAGCTAGTAGGACAGATTGATTAAGATGTTTTATGTGAAGAGCTAAGACTGCAATCAATCAGTGAATTAATCATATATTGGTTTTACTTACAATAGCGACGACGGCGTCTCTGGCGGTGAGAGCGAGAACATCGGCACACGAAACGACCCCGGGGCACACTTTCTCCACCTCCCTCTTCACCCTGTCGATGAAGTCGAACCCTCTCAGCGTCTGGTTCGGAGGAGCCACCTTCTCGGTTTGGTTCCCCGTGCTGCTCGTGCTATTCAGAAGCACTGACCCGTCACAACCCTTCAAAAAAACATAAAAAAACACACACAATTTTCAGTTTTAGTGTTTCCAAAGTTAATCTGGCATTGCCCGGGCTCACACAATGTTCGGTTTCGGTCATGCTTTTCAAGTTAAAACATTTAATCTCGACATACAAATTAAAAAAAATAATCCAAAACGTGCTAACGCTAATCTCTAGGACATACCCTGACGAAGCAATCGTGGAAGTGCATCCGGAGCAGGGGGGCTGCAAGAGAAGGGGCATTTGAAATGTGGGTTTTGACGAAGTCCTTGATGAGGCTCTCGGCATTGGGGCACGTTTGGGAGTAGAAATTGGTCTGCAACTTGGAGAGAACGGGGCCTGCACTTCCCAGAATGCACAGAATCAGAAACCAAACGGAGCCCATCCTGATACTGCAAGCTAAGCTTGAAGAAGAAGATATGGTAGAAAACATAGTACTCCGTCTATGGATCTCAGTGGCGTCGTCCCATCAGATTTATAGGGCTATTATTGAGGGCGGGCCTTCCTTAGTTGGCAAGACAAGAGGTAAAATCCAAGTTCGATTCTTTTCAATTATATTGGGATCAAATTATTCTAAACATAGAGTTTTGGCTAGTATCGGATTTGGATTGCACTATTTGCCACTAATCAACCATTAAAATCTAATACTCCCTCCGTCCTAAAATTAACTTCTCATTTGACTTTTCACGGTCTCCAATGCGACACTTTGACCATTAATATATCCATTTTTATATGAATATATATTATCAAAATAATATATTTCAAAACTATGTTTCAAAATAAATCTATTGATACTAAATTTATATGAAAATTCAATATATATTTTTCGTAATATGCAGTCAAAGTTTAAAAACTTTGACTGCAAAAGTCAAAATGAGAAATTAATTTTAGGACGGAGGGAGTAACTAAAATCTCAATGACCATCTAACCGGATCTGAGACCCCCTTTTTTAAGGACTATTATTGTTGAATTGGACAATGTGTGGCGACCACGCGCGAAAAGCGCCACGCTCTGTACATTGCCTCCTAAGGCTAGCTAGGCAGGCCCGCATGTGACTTGTTGAAATAGTACTCCATATGTAGGGGGAGTAGTTTTGCAGTGTAATTATTAAAGTCCTACTATTCGTCCGTTTCGTATTTAGTAACTTCTTTTTACTTTTTACACTATTTTTTTGTTGGCAACAAAATTTTAATTAAGTGGGAGAAAGACTAAAGTAAGACTAAAACATTGAAAACATGCCAAAATAGGACTTTCATGTTTTTATTTCCGAAATAGGAAAACATTACCAAACATGGTCATATACATTACCAAAAAAGTATAGTAATCTGCATATGTACACTGCCATATTACCACAATGCAAAGTCTTATTCCAGGAAAAAAAACATTAAAATCCTATTTTGGTACTTTTCTCTATGTTTTAGTCCTATTTAGAATGATTTCTATTTAATTAATGTATCATTGTGTCTTTACTTTTTATCTATATTATTCACTTTATTCCATCAAATCAAATGTAAACATGAATTTTTTTAATAATTTTTAACTATTATTAATCTTTGTGCTAAGTCAAACCGGATAAAAAAAATTTAGAGAGAGGTTGTATGACATTAGGAATCTTAAATATACTTCGGTAATGCTTTTAATCAATTCTAAGACAATTTAATTTCTTCTAGATACAACTTTTAGAACACGGGCAATGACAAGGCAAAAAATGAAATGTCACACGTTGACTTGAAACATTTCATCCAATAGAAAACAGTCTCGTCATCGTGTGGCAAGAGCGTAAAGTGACATGCATTATAGTGGCAAGTCATTATCTTTGTCACTTTTTGACATTTTTATGTATTTAATTTTTAATATTTATTTTATTTAATATTTTTATAAAAATAATTTTACTTTGTTTATGTACAATGGTTAATTTCATTGATTGAATATGTGGGAGTACATGTCTATTATATACATAAGGATTCATAATCCTATACAAGGTATGAGACAATAATAGGAAACAATATATTTACATTAAATATAGAATATATATTTAACATGCTCCCGGCTACGTCGGATGAGGAGGAGGTCTGATACCCAGACTGGACTAAAACTCGAGGAAGAGAAGTGAAGGTAGTTCTTTGGTAAAGATGTCTGCATATTGTGAAGAAGAGGGCACGTGAAGGACTCGGATGTGGCCGAGTGCTACTTTGTCTCGCACAAAGTGTATGTCGACTTCAACGTGCTTGGTGCGCTGGTGCTGAACCGGGTTTGATGAGAGATAGACAGTGCTGACGTTGTCGCAGAAGACAAGGGTGGCGCGTCGTAGTGGTTGCTAGCTGGAGCTCAAGAAGAAGATTTCGGACCCAAGCTGTCTTAGCAACTGCATTTGCCACAACCCGATATTCTGCCTCTGCACTGGAGCGAGAAGTGGTGGCCTGGCGTTTTGAAGACCATGAAATCAGGTTGTCGCCTAGAAAAATACAGTACCCAAAAGTAGAACGTCTGGAGTCGGGACAACCAGCCCAATCAGCATCAGAATAAGCTTGGAGATAGTCTGTCGAGGAGCGAGTCAGGTAGATGCCGTGAGTGGTGGTGCCGCTGAGATAACGGAGAACTCGCTTCATTGCCGTGAGGTGAGAGTCGCGGGGCGCATGAAGGTGGAGGTAGAGCTGCTGAAAGGCATAAGTGATATCAGGTCGGGTGAATGTGAGATACTGTAGAGCACCAACTATGGACCTGTAAAGAGAAGGATCTAGAAGTGCCGTGCTGGAGGAGGAAGAAAGCTTTGCCTTTGTGTCAACTAGAGTGGATTGGGGCGGCATGACACCATCCCTGCCCTCTCAAGGATGTCATGAGTGAACTGTGTCTGATGAAGGAAGGGGCCCTGAGCTGTGCGATGAACATTAATGCCGAGGAAAAAGTGCAGATCACCCAAGTCTGTCATGGCAAACTTAGCCTTGAGTTTCTGAATGAGACTCTGAAGAAGTCCTGGCGAGGAGGCAGTGAGGACGATATCATCAACATATAATAAGAGGTAGGCGGTCCACGAGGCATGCGTGAAGATGAAAAGAGATGTGTCAGATTTGCAGCTGCGAAATCCAATAGTTGAATGAAACCTGCAAATCTATGATACCATGACCGGGGTGCCTGTTTTAGGCCATAAAGAGCTTTCTTGAGCCGGCAGACATGATGAGGGCGATTAGCATCCTGAAATCCTGAGGGCTGGCTGGCATACACGGTTTCCTGAAGCTGTCCATGGAGGAAGACATTTTTGACATCTAGCTGATGAATGGGCCACCCACGAGACAACGCGAGGCTAAGGACGATTCGGACCGTGGCAGGCTTGATGACGGGGCTGAAAGTTTCGCTGTAGTCAACGCCAAAACGCTGATTGAAGCCGTGGACCACCCATCGGGCCTTATACCTGGATAACTCACCGGACAGGCCAACTTTGTGTCTGAAGAACTATTTACCGGTGATTATGTTTTTGTTGGGGGAGAGGGTACTAGTACCCATGTGTCATTCTTTAACAAAGCATTATATTCATCACACATAGTAGCATGCCAGTTTGGATCTTTCATAGCACTACGGTAAGTTGGGGGTAAGGGGGAGATGGAGGTGGTGGCGTGGAGGTCTAAGATTTGTTTTGAGAAGAAAACACCGGTCTTGGAGCGGGTTTGCATGGGGTGGGTGTTGACCGGTGGGGGAGGGGAGTGGGCCGTG